TGTAATTGTGACAATGTTAGAAGTCATCATCTTCAATAAACATGTAATTGTGACAATGTTAGAAGTCATCCTCTTCAATAAACATGTAACTGTGACAATGTTAGAAGTCATCCTCTTCAATAAACATGTAATTGTGACAATGTTAGAAGTCATCCTCTTCAATAAACATGTAACTGTGACAATGTTAGAAGTCATCATCTTCAATAAACATGTAACTGTGACAATGTTAGAAGTCACAATGTTCAATAAACATGTAACTGTGACAATGTTCAGTCATCTTCAATAAAATGTGTGATGTTGTGACAATGTTAGAAGTCATCATCTTCAATAAACATGTAACTGTGACAATGTTAGAAGTCATCATCTTCAATAAACATGTAACTGTGACAATGTTAGAAGTCATCATCTTCAATAAACATGTAATTGTGACAATGTTAGAAGTCATCATCTTCAATAAACATGTAATTGTGACAACATGTAATTGTGACAATGTTAGAAGTCATCCTCTTCAATAAACATGTAATTGTGACAATGTTAGAAGTCATCCTCTTCAATAAACATGTAATTGTGACAATGTTAGAAGTCATCCTCTTCAATAAACATGTAACTGTGACAATGTTAGAAGTCATCATCTTCAATAAACATGTAACTGTGACAATGTTAGAAGTCATCATCTTCAATAAACATGTAACTGTGACAATGTTAGAAGTCATCATCATCTTCAATCACAATGTTAGAAATCATAAACATGTAATTGTGACAATGTTACAATGTTAGAAGTCATCATCTTCAATAAACATGTAATTGTGACAATGTTACTGTGACAAGTCATCATCTTCAATAAATCATGTAACTGTGTGACAATGTTAGAAGTCATCCTTCTTCAATAAACATGTAACTGTGACAATGTTAGAAGTCATCTTCAATCTTAACTGTGACAATAGAAATCATCTTCAATAACATGTGACAATGTTAGAAGTCATCATCTTCAATAAACATGTAATTGTGACAATGTTAGAAGTCATCCTCTTCAATAAACATGTAATTGTGACAATGTTAGAAGTCATCCTCTTCAATAAACATGTAACTGTGACAATGTTAGAAGTCATCATCTTCAATAAACATGTAACAATGTTGACAATGTTAGAAGTCATCATCTTCAATAAACATGTAACTGTGACAATGTTAGAAGTCATCATCTTCAATAAACATGTAACTGTGACAATGTTAGAAGTCATCATCTTCAATAAACATGTAACTGTGACAATGTTAGAAGTCATCATCTTCAATAAACATGTAATTGTGACAATGTTAAAAGTCATCCTCTTCAATAAACATGTAATTGTGACAATGTTAGAAGTCATCATCTTCAATAAACATGTAACTGTGACAATGTTAGAGGTTATCATCTTCAATAAACATGTCAGTGTAACAATGCTAGATGTCATCAGTTACAACAGACATGTAAGCCTAGCAACTGTGCATGTCATGGTTACAGTTTGATGACGATTAAACTGTACTTGCATTTTAGATCAATAAAATAACTTGAGCATCAAGTTAGTCACAAGAAGATCTTCAGACTGTCGGTCTGCATTTATGAATTTGAAACCAAGTCGTCCACAGCGCCGCCATTCGCTATGCAGTTGCGTCCCTTAGTTGTGTCCGGAACCTGTGATAGTGGGTTCTAATTGCTGTTCGCACTGGTTGTCTTTTTCATCAAGCTGGTAAACGTCAAAGACCGACATCACTTCGTGCTTTCCCTCGACACCCTGAAGTGACACACCGTGCTTTCCCTCGACACCCTGAAGTGACACACCGTGATATAACTGAAATCAGCGTTAAGCCAAACTCACTTACTCATCAGGCTGGATAACATATTCAGGCATACCTTGCGTCAGTTCAAATGATCAGACTTCGGACCCCTTCGGGACCCTACGATATATGGATCACACACACAGACACACGCACACAGACGCGCGCCCGCCCGCCCGCACGCTCGCACACAAGAAAGCAGCAGGTCGATTACTTACAAATAGCCTGATCTGCAGACCGCTTCATTATGTACAGATAATACGTTAATGGCGATATATACGTGCAGCGTAACACCCATTAACTCATGCTTTACACTCACCCAACTGACAACCTCACGCAGATAAGAGTGAGTGCTTGCTGCTTAATGAGAGGATGCACCCAGACCAAATTCCATGTCAAACATCCATTAGTAATACCATGCGACTTAAACGATTAAGGGCGGGATCTATATTGATACATGTCTACATCTAAATAGACATCGATAATTCCTGATCATAAGGCTCACAGTGGCTTAGTATTGTTTCACAAATGTACCACCTGAGTAGACACGTTTTTCCTAAATAATTAAAGGCCGTATCATCTTTGTCGTGTGGGAAGGATGCCCTACGTCCTTGGCCTAGTTCCTCAAACAGACATTAGCACTAAATCTTCCATAGCATGCTAGACTTATTGTATGAACATGGCCCGATGGCGGACTTGCTTGAAATCTTTGTGTATAATTCTCTGTTTCAGTCAGTCTCAATCAGCATATTTTTGTTGGTGTAGTGGTGTTGGTATTTGTCGTATATTCTATTGATGGAGTGTTAGCTGGGCACACAGAAGACCTGGGTTCGAATGCTCACGTCTGTTTAATGTGTGAAGCCCATTTCTGGTGTACTGGTCGTGTTTATTGTTGGAATCTCGGTAAAATTGACTTTACTCGTGTTGTGTTCCGCCAAGAATCATCATTCAGATGCACAGTTCTTGGATTTTTAATGGGGTGGATTTGGATGGAAATTATTTCAAGACAAAACACAATATACAGTGGCGGATCCAGGGTGTGTGTGTGTGTGTGTGTGTGTGTTTTGGACCTTCCGAGAGGATCAGGAGGCTGACAGGGGGTATGAGGAGGAGGGTGCTGGCTGTCATACAGTTATATGGAGGTTACACATTCGGTATTGACCTTGAATCGTGTAAGACACGCAAAATGACATTTTGAATGTTCACATCCACTAATAAATTCAACATTAAACATTCCAGGGCCATACATGTACAGGCATGGTTTTGCATGAAAATCAGTGGGTTTTTTTGTGGGTTTTTTAAATGAGCACTTAACATCATAAAATCAACATGGAATCCAATCATTTTGTCGGTTTTTTGAGTAAAAGGATCATACAGGTCAGAAAATCTGTGTCAGAAAAACGATGTTTATCCATCGCTTTCACCACGAGATATTTTATGTAAGTGTTGAAAACCTATCATTGCAAAAATATAGGGGGTGCTTAATTAAGTTTTTGTGTATATATACACTGGTATATATATCCAAAATACAAACGGAGTTTATCATGTAATCAATTTAATCTGTAAGATAAGATAATTTCTATATTATCCCGAGGGATATTTGGTTTGCATCATGTACAGTTCTCCAGTTTTTAGACTCATTAAGCAATCAAATCATAATCATCTAACTATTTTTACGAAAATAATCAGGATATAAATACATCAATTTAGTACACAAACATTGGTATTGACTAGACATTCTATATTTCTTATTTGGTAGTAATTCATTGAATTTGTTATTGATACATCGAATACTAGCTGGAACAAATGAGTGGCGAACCCTGTTTCTTTTAAAACTCGGTATTCGCAGCCTGCGTCCAGAAGGTAGTGATGAATATTCCGAAACAGGTATGGGAGTAGGATCACTTAAAACTTGGTTTGCCTTTTCGGAAATTTCCTGCTCATAATAAATAACATTAAGAATTGCTTAAGAAATGCTAAAGAAGTTCTTGGGTGTTAGATAAAAACAAGACCCCGCTCTCATTGCCGCTGTAGTACGGTTTGTATAACCACTAGCATAGTGCATATATACATTCTGCCATAGTTTCCGAACTGTTCGTAGAACAGGTGACTATATGAAGACTTGCACTCCAGGGAGGAATTGCCTTGTATATATAGTAGACCTGCGGTTCCTTGTTATTGTGGAGAACCGAAGCATTCCTCTGACATATGCTGGCGTGAAACTAAGGAATTGCAGATCCACACTCTCTCACAGTAGACTCTATATTTACCACAACCTTGATCCTGTTCAGGCTGAATTCACAACGCGTTATATCAGCTGTTTTACCAGTGACCCAGATAAAAGGTTTCTGACCCATTTTACTTTAGAATGAATTAAATTCTTTTCATTTCAAAGAATTAAATTAATTACTTTGACGCTGCCATATTTGGAAATTAGAGACATGAGAAGATTAAATTGCATGTTTACACAGTGGTTGGGTTTAAAGCCTCTGTGTACGTAGCTCTGATATTAGATACCCAAAGCTTTTGAGTGTGCATATCTTGATATCTTAGAACACCAATATGTGTAATGTCCCTTTCCTTACGTAGATTAAATAATTTTAAATCTTCCTGGCTGGTCTCGGGTCTTGTTATGAACAGTTTTTATCGGTTTCTATACATATGAATTCGTATATATGCAAAGTGATTCAAACAGCATGTCATAATCGCACAGAAGATTTTCCAACACAAGTTGACAGTGATTGGCTACCTAACATGGTATTATGCTAGTTTCTCGAAAACAATCAATTGTAAATGATCAATTATTGTAATGTATTCCTTTTTATGTTTAATGTTATAAAAGAAAAGTATCTTTATATTTTGTAATATTATAATCTAGAAGCTAACATATTGTTCCAATGGCTATTTTAACTCTACTTGCGTAAATACGTATTTTTCTTGGTACTGTAACTTAAAATATTGTTTTTTAAATCTGTAATTCAGATGGAATTTAGTGTTAAATTTATAACTACAAATTACATGAGATTTACATTGAAAAACAAGTGGCATTTTATAAAGACAAAAAATTGCAAACATTCCTGTATTGCGATAAATAATTGTGCACGGTTTGGGATTGAGCTCTTATTGGGGAATAGTTGTGCTGCAAGTACTACACAAAATCCGAAGTGCCCGTATGACCATTACTCGTACTGTTTCGGAGAAATTTTACATGGCGACTTACTGAAAATTGTGATCTATTACTGCAAATTTAGGAAGTTATGAATAACTGATAGTCGCCTAATTGGAGGAGGACGTGCTTCAGACAGGCACCTCACTGTACGATGGTGTGTAAGGAGGAATTATGTAAATGGTTCAAGAATCTAAGGCCGCACCAGCGGATAGATTACATGTGTGGACTGCTACATATGTGCCTCCCACTGGAACTTCGGTTTCTCGGATCTGTGCTTGAAGACCATGGGAAGAAAAACTACAATTTCCTTCGTGATGCAGAATTAAAGGCAAACAATAGTGCAGAAATATCAAAGCTGCAATCGGGAACGGATAAACAATTACGTGCAACAGTCAGTGTTTACTTGTCGTTGTTACATTCGTCCAACACCCCGTGCGCTCAACTTCTCTTCGAAGTGTTGGAGAAAAATCTTGAACGAGCTTTCACATTTGGAGCCGATCCCAATGACAATGAAGAAATCTTGATGGCTTTGACCCTGGCCATCAATCATCCTGCGTTTCAGTTTCACCAAAAGAACATTCTCTATGAGCATTATGCAAGATTCGATCACGGGGCAAGTGACAGACGGAACAAGGTATGAGTTTCAATGGTTGACACTCGGTGCTGTTTATTCCAATATGGCGGACACCAGTTTTGAAATTCCATTTTTTGCCCCAAAAATGTTAATATTAGGACCCGGAGTTAGTTGAGAATGTACAGTACTTGCTACCTAATCAATTACGTGTTCAGAACTGTGTTGTCACAAATATATTGATAGTTTTGTGAGTGATAAATGGAAAACTGTTGTCCAGTGTTTCCTTAAAAAAAAAACATACCCTGTGGTCTTTGACAGTTCAAACGTGTAGTAGTTTCTGTAAACACTGAAATACTTATTAGAATACTGTCCATCAACACTGAAGTAGAACATAGACCTAGATTTGAATATGTTTCAACAAAAGCTCACATGACGTGTAAATATTGTCCTGTTGATTTAAATATTGTCCTGTTGAGTTCCATTAACTAAAGTCGTCATATGAGCGAAATATTCTCAAGCACGACGTTAAACCCAATTTCACCTCACCTCACCTCCATTAACTAAGAAAATACATGCCATAGATCCTAACCGATTAAAACCTTTGAGGTAGAAACCTGGTGTCTACATGCTTTTCATCAAGTTTAACTCTCTATGTACCATGACAGTTAGACTGTCATAAACAGTTTGAACTTGAAGGAATAAATTTAACTTCACTGTTTTGGATTTGTGATGATACGGTGTGTTAAGTAGAGTTTTATAGGTTGGTTTCTTTTATTTCTGAAGTGGTTGTAAGTGCATCACAATGACAACAATGACAGTGTTCTCAGGGAAATATATATGGGTTGGCTAAAGGTTCCAATTACTGATTGTATTGTTTTGAGTCAATGAACTGTTGCGTAATGTAGCAGTCCACTATGTTCCATAATAAAGCATACAGCTTTATGAATGACAACACTATATTCCAGCTATGTCACAAATTACTGAAGCAGCGGAGACGACAGTATTCCAGCTATGGGAAAGCTCACAGTTGCAGCAGTCTGCTATATATCGGAGTTCATGGTGGCCTGAATGTATTTCATATGTGGATCAGGCAAACCACAGACGGAAAAAATGTATGAGCAGCAATTCACCCCCATTGGAACTTGTGGATACACTATCGAACCTGTTATAGAGCTGGACCATCATGCCCTGACTTATGTTTGCTTTTACAAAGTGTATTTACAGATGTCTCATTAAAATATTTTACTCCAGTAAGATCTGAGGACACTTCCATTGGGTTGTGTGAGGTGAAGCCTGAACAATCACAATATTTCAGTGATAGACACCCCTGGTCATAATTAACTTTTCCACACTTCATTTGGGACAGGTCCCTAGTGGTTTATGTAATCTTTCTTAATTTGGGGGAAGAAACAAAGTGTCCTTGATTTTCACTACTCATGATCTAATGGACTGACCCTGCATATATTTAGACATGGTGTTATGTCATTGTTTCCAAAACTTCAGATCCATGACACATGTCATACTTTTTTGCATGATTGTATCACTGCCTGCATATTTGTTCAACTGTTAACATGGTTAATGGTTCCAACAGAGCTTCCTTTACCCTTTAATTTGAGCCAGGTAGGTTGATCATTGGTCTCCGCAGTCAGATTATAGAGATTTAATTAACTTGTTTCCATTCTCATGTCTCATTGTTTCAAATCAGGCTGGATACACATCCAGTCGTCTTGTTTACTCTTAATTACTCTGATTGAAATAGCTGATGATTTCAGTCAATAGTAAGAGTATTTCATAATACAACAGTTAATGTCAAGGACAAAGATCTTCCTTAGTCTTATACACTGCACATTGTACTGATACATTCTTTAGGACTGGAAATTAACTACAGTATTTCTTGGAGGTCAGATTTAATTAATCATTTGGTGCATGTTATTGTATCCCAGTTGTGTACGTCAGTACTCAATCAATCAGGGGATTTTTTGGACTGGGCACTATTATATGCAGACCCCTATCATTTACTGATGCTTTAGCTGCCATAAGGAATAAGTGAACAAGTAAATCTGATTTTTTGATATTATTAATGTTATTTGATGTGTACCAAATCTCCTGATCTTAACTTGGATCTTGATTATGTCCAAAGAATAAATGTTGTCAGACTGTTGAACGTCCTATATCATCCAATGATGCCTTATCCAAATGATTCAGTTTGACTCGAGAGGTCCCAGATTTAATTCAGTTGTGGAACTCGGTGCTTGTTTTGGCTAACTTACATCACAGGTTCAATATGCACAAGACTGGAAGAGACTAATGATGTTTTCCTTGCCAACAATATTTCAAACAGTTATTAAGGTTTTTACAATGTTTACTGTGTTGGTCTGATTGATGAATGATGATTTGCCATTGCAGTCTTAATGAGCCATTTTCGTAGCTGTCATCGTTAGTGGTCCTTAAATTGATAATTTGGCTATTGAGGATTGTTTAGTATGACCCAGTAATTAGCATATTGGCGGGAGGTCATCTGACAGGTCAACTATTTGTGAAGTACCTGTTGGTATAAAGTAGGTCCTTGCTTTGCTACATATAATACTTCATGTTTCACTTGTAGTGGTTGCACAGGTGGCAAAGTCGTCCATGGCAGTGCAATTAGCTAGGCCCACAGTTACCGTGTTAGTTACTTCTGACTAACCTGAAGAAACCTTGAACAAATATTTTAATGCAGAATTAATGTCAGCGAAATGTCCATTGACAGTCATCGGTATTGATAGCCTTCTTGGAAATTTCACAATCTGTCGTTTCAATGAAATCTAAAAATATCGTCATCTGAGGGCTAAACAGAAAGTAGGGTCTAGTAAATTGTTGTTTAGTATGGACCTTGGATTTGATCAGTTGACAAGTCGTGTTTCATAGTGCTTATCTGTGACTTCATCGACCGATGGTTTAACTTAGTCTTGTCCACACACATGAAATATGTGTTATTTTGCAATTTTGTTATTTGATTGATGGACATTTTGAAATGTTGGTACCTTATTTGATTTTTCAGTAGCAATGGTGCCCTTGCCTTCTTGAAGTCAGGGATGAAAAGTGTCATCTGGCAATCTGAAACGTGCAACACTGTAGTAGAAACGTGCAACACTGTAGTAGTTTCTCCTGATCTCTCATGATGAACAGTAGTTGCACAATTGGTGTAATTATTAATTTGAAAGATGTAAACTTTGCGAAAACACAATTATTTACTTTCAGGAAGTGAGCAAATATGCATTTTCTCAATTCTATTCCCTCCACCATGCCTGTTTATAGGATGATTCTGAAACTGAAATGCATGATCCCAAAGCTTAGTGTCTCCATCAAAATGTTTTTGTGAATTTGGTTGATTTGTTGTATAATGACTGTAAGAGATCCTGTATCTGCACTTCAGGACTTTTAACAAACATTTTGTTGTATGTTTTCCCAGTTTTATATTATTTCCCATCCATACTGATATTAAACACATATAGGTTATTTCTATGTATGCGATCCATAAATGGATGTGAACATGTAGAGGGATCATCAGGTTATTTTCCATCCCATTTCACTGTTAGTATGGCTGCAGCAGGGTAAATGTCAGTGTTAAAAATTAGTAAACTACTTATCCACAAAAGTGTCATGAACCTTCTGTCTGTATAAGAAAGTTACGTACTGAACAAAATATCGTGAAATCACACCTTAATCAGTAGATTCCTATAAGTCTTTCAGGAGTTGACAAAGATCTTGATAATAGAGTGCCACCATGCTTATTTGAGACCTTGGAGATTATAAATATTTAGGTGTTATGTACATCGAGTGCATTTAGATTTCTCTAATCGACTCTTGAGATCTCATTTGTACTGAAGTGATAGGATATCGTTACTACTTGTGGTCATGTTTTCACTTTTCTATGTTTGCGCTTTGTTATGTATCTAGGGACTACAAAATGTCCTCAGCCACGAACAAAATGGAAATATTTTCTTTTGTAATTTATACTTTTATCTCCATTCCACACTACTTTTGAACATTATGACTCTTAAGTTTGCTGATAAATGCAATGCAAATGTTTATATTTAAGTTTTAGATTTTAAATAATCAAACTTTCATCTGTCATGCATGTGCTTATGCTATTGATCCTGTAGATCAGTTGCAGAATTCTTCAGAAAAAAATTAAACGGAACATGGTTGAGAATAGCAGAATTTTGAACACATAAATTATTGTCACATGTCTTCTGTCATTGAGCAAGTATTGTAGCACCTGAATTCCAGAATCCAAAACAATATCATTTCAGTTGTTTTTCTTTGTTATAGTAGCAGTCTCTAATACAAGTGGTACACACTGCTTGTTGGATTATGAAATAAACAGGTTTTGTTAATTTTTTAAATGTATTTCGAATATATATTGTGAGTTGGTAGGTAATTTTGCAATTGTAAACAGCTATATTTTAAACAGTTATGATTCCAATGCTTTAATTTACAGTGATAAGAGAGGGGTGATTGATAAACCTTTAATACCATTTGTTTGTTCTTAAATTTTATTGATCATGGCTACTCATTAGTAACTATGATTAAATTAAATTGAATTCAGTTTTTTGATAGAGTTGACATGTCATAGAAAGAATACAGTACATTCTTTATCACCACTGCTTGCTATACACTTCAGTTATCTGAGTGGGGTTGGATGTTGAATTCTAATAAATTCTCGATGAATGTTCTTGATCCATAAAAATTTTATCATTTACAACAAACATTGACATGTTTAAGATGATCCCTTTTAGTGATGCAATACAGTACATTATGGTTACAGCAAGTTCAATTAATTTTCATTTTGTGTGCAGATCAATCGAATCTGGCTTTATATTGCACCAAAGTTTCAGTCACTTCAGAGATTAGTTCATCCCCTTAGCTTTCAGTGATGAATTCTAGGCTTTATGATGACATTCAATACAGCTAGACATGTCAGTCTGTACTTTAACCACTAGTCCAAGCCCCCAGTTCAGTCAGTAAATTGTTGGGACATTAAGCTTTGCTGGAACACTGTGTATTTAATAGCTGACAAATAGCTGAAGTGACTGAAAGACTAGTTCATGAATAAACCTGTCTAGAAGAGGGAAGAGCTTTTGGCATGGACCTGTTTCATGGTATGCAAGAGTTGGTTGTAGTTGTCCCCCGCCGCAACATGGAACGGGTGACTATGTATTCAGCAGCGTTCGTACGTACGTCCCTATTCTTGTTAACGCGATATCTCATGAACTGTTGTACCCAATGTCTTCAAATTTGGTGACAGCCTACGCTGTGTTCAAGGTCACCACGGCACTTTGACCACTTTTCAAACTTATGTAAATGCGATCTCTCATAAAATATTGCAATGTCTTCAATTATGTCCGACAGCCTACATTGGGTGATTATGCAGACACCAGTCATTTCTTGTATTTGATAAAAAAATAAAAAGTAGTAAATATGTTATAAATATTTCATTATTCTCTAGCAGCGGGTGACATTGCCATATTAGTGGCGAACACTTATTTTCTTTGTATGGTGCAGAATATTTAAAGGCTTATAGTTTTAATATAATTCCTTGTAACCAGGGTAACAAACAATCCTTCATTTTCTTCCAGAACACTGAAGCATGTGACCTCTTCGAGGAGCCAAGTTCAGTCGAAGCAGTTGAAGCAAGACTGAGGGAGCAGCAAGGTAGATTACCATTTAAAAGTTTCCCTGCCTGATGTGTCATTATCATATATTTTGCTGAAAATAGTTCAATAAGCCCGTGTTTACCAACATGGTGATAATTTCATGTGCATTTCACCAAGTTTGACTTCTGACAGTGGCTAGGGATTCGATCCTGCCCTACACTAAGCACATATAACATGTAATGACACCTCCGGCAGATGAGTTTGAGTGAAATAAGCCTATTTTTAACTAACAGTGAATGGGTACCTGGTAAGATGAGATGGTAATGTTGCTGTTTAGCATCTAGTGAAGGAAGCTTGAGTTTCATAACGATGATTGATTGCACACTGATTCTTTAACAAGGGTAATAATAGGTGAGTGGGGAGGTTTGATCATCAGATCCAGCATTGAAAAGTGCATTCCAAATTGACCACTCAATATAGAAGACTTCCAGTGTAACATTAATAAGTTGCTAGTTACATGAGGAATAGAAGCTGGTAACATGAAGAACAGGTTATCCGGAATAGGAAGGAGCTGATGGAGCTTTTTGTTGCTTATTACGACTATAATATTACAGACTGAATTGTCCCTCACTTCATTCACTGAGAATATTTTTTATTTGCAGACTCCATTTGCAGCATAGAGGTGAAAGAGTTCACCTCACGCAAGCAATCTGGAAAGAAATTTGAGTTTAAGGTCCATGTGAGTAGAGTTAATGTTACTTTTTTTTTGCTGAAGTTATGAGAATGGTTCCTTCTTTGGATTGTTGACATGTTTGTGGAATGTTTGTTATGTTACTTTATTCAGTATATAAACTATATCTAACTGATCCATCATATATAATTATTTTTGTAGGTCAGTAATTAAGTGTTCTAATGTACCTACAGGTTACCTGGTCAAATGGCAGTGTGTTTGAACTCACCAAGACAATACGGGACATGCATGATTTCCACATTCGAGTAAGTATGGCAATTTCTACCAAAATGAAATATCATATTAAATTTTATCATTTTTGGCAGGTCAAAAGAGGCCACAGTTAGCACTCTGAAGGTGCTTGTGGTTGTGCAGTTACATGTGCGAGTCATGATTCACTGATAAAGTTATGCAGTTCCTGAATTTACTGAAAGTTTACCTGTGCATTTTGTAACTAACTTGATACTTATCACTGATCAAAATGGTATGCTTACATAATATTATTTGAATGAACCAAGAATTGCCAAGATTCTCAGGCCACATTGAACACGGGCAATTTAAGTCCAAAACGAAGCAATTGGGTATTGCAAGGTATATAATATTGTGATGTAAATATTGCAATATATGTAGAGTTTAGGCTTCTATAATATTATTTTATGTCCAGGAAAGTTTTGAGTAATATCTGTGTAATATCTTGTTTTCACATTCTTTGTCTTTGCAGTTGTTAAGGCTTTTTCCTGATGAAGTTGAACTTCAAAAAAGAGAATGGAAATCAGCCTTTTCAAATCACTGTAAGTTTTGTAGGTAATCTTCATTTTAGTACAGTTGATTGCCATGTAAAATCATTATGTTTCTTTGTTTACCAATACTATACTGTGCTTGTGGGTTTCACTATAGTGGACCCGTGAAGATCCGGGTTTGAATTGTTCTTCAGCAACCCATGCTTGTTGTAAGAACCGACTAACGGGATCGGGTGGTCAGGCTTGCTGACTTGGTTGACACATGTCATCGGTTCCCAATTGCTTAGATCGATGTTCATGCTGTTGATCACTGGATTGTCTGGTCCAGAATCAATTATTTACAGACCACCGCCATGTAGCTGGAATATTGGTGAGCGTGGCGTAAAACAAAACTCACTCACTCATTCACTATAGTGGTGTGTGCTTCTGTGTAACTCATGGGTTTCATCTCACATCATGATATAACTGAAGTAACATTAAACAAATGTCACTCATTTAGATGTGCCCTTGTATGCATTCCTACATCAGGGTCCCAGGTCTGTTGAACGTTGTGTTATTAAAAGAAGGGCTCTACATAAGAATCCCTGGTCTGTCATAAATTGTGTCATAAAAAGAGGGGCTCAACGTCAGGGTCCCTGGGGGCGGTGGGGTAGCCTAGTGGTTAAAGCGTTGGCTCATCACGCCGAAGACCCGGGTTCGAATCCCCACCTGGGTACAATGTGTGAAGCCCATTTCTGGTGTCCCCGCCGTGATGTTGCTGGAATATTGCTAAAAGCGGCGTAAAACCAAACTCAGTCAGTCAGTCAGGGTCCCTGGTCTGTCATAGATTGTGTTATTAAAAGAGGGTCTCTACATCAGGGTCCCTGGTCTGTCATAAATTGTGTTATTAAAAGAGGGTCTCTACATCAGGGTCCCTGGTCTGTCATAAATTGTGTTATTAAAAGAGGGGCTCAAAATAAGAATCCCTGGTCTGTCATAAATTGTGTTATTAAAAGAGGGTCTCTACATCAGGGTACCTGGTCTGTCATAAATTGTGTTATTAAAAGAGGGTCTCTACATCAGGGTCCCTGGTCTGTCATAAATTGTGTTATTAAAAGAGGGGCTCAAAATAAGAATCCCTGGTCTGTCATAAATTGTGTTATTAAAAGAGGGTCTCTACATCAGGGTCCCTGGTCTGTCATAAATTGTTATTAAAAGAGGGGCTCAACATCAGGGACCCTGGTCTGTTGCACAATGTTTACAGTGTAAATAGGGACTCTACATCAGAATCACTGATCTGTCATATGTTGTGTTATGATGTAATAAGTGGCTCCAAATCAGGGTTCCTTGTATGCCGTACATTGTGGTATGATGTAAAGAGGGGTTGAACATCAGGGCTCCATGTCTGGAACAGACAGCCTCACATGTTACTGTAATATAGAATGCTATAACTATTAAGTGCAACTTCACTGCTGTTTCAGATCACCATCACCACCACCAACACAAGGAGGAGCTGGCCAGGACTCTGACAAACTACATCAGGTATGTGTGTGTTAGCTTTGCGTTTACACAGATACCAGCGGTGTTCAGACTTACATGACCTTGAGGATTTTAGTCAGAACAATGGTCAATGCAAGTTTAATTCCTTGAACAAACCTGCAGGGATGTCATGATAGAATATTAGGCTTCTGTCTGTTACATGGCTTTCAATGTATCCCTATCAGGGATTAAAAAAATCCCATCGCCCGACGCCCGGGACAAGTCAATTTTCATTTCGGGCAATCAAATAATGGTATCTTACTTGTCCGTGGGCTACTAGATAATTTCCACTTATGGTTTCAAGCTGCAAATAAACTTGGATTTAATTTCATATCTGCTCAAAATGTAGCTATTAAATTTTGCAATGATAATGAGTTTTCTTTCTTTGCTATTTATAACTTTTCAATAAATAATCCAGTAAACATTAACATCAAATACCATGTTGATTTATTCTTTCATAATTACATCATCATGATTATTTCATAAAATCAGGGCAAGTGGAAAATTAGTCAGGACAAGTTACTTTCTTAAAGTCACTTGCCCTATGGCAAGTGACTTTTTAAGAAACTTTTGAACCCCTGCCTATGTATGTATCTTTGCTCGTACAGCAAACCCAAGGGATGGGTTGATTGCGACTCCATGATGCAGCCACCTGAGTTATAATGGAGGATTATGTCAGTCAATTAGAATCAAAACACCAAAGCCAGGTTATGCCCCCAAAATGAGATTTACCTGGAAATCTACCTCTCAAGAGTATGCAAATAGGTCTGAAAGATGGCGCATCCCATTCAAAGATAGGATATTCCTGTTACATTCTGTGACTTTAGATGTTATCCCAAAGCATGAGTCTTGTATCCTTTCTCTCTGTCTAGTAGGCTCAGCTGCTATAGTCTGTTTGCACTGAAAACGTACCGATGAATTTCACTTTAAACAAAAAAGTAAATCAAATAAAGTGAAATTAAGATTGAGAATCCTCATAACTTTACTTTGCCAACTGAACATTAAAATCTCAGAATTTTATTCAACTTAGGATAAAAGTTGTTTAACAAACGATCATAGTTTCAAATCGCTATTATTGGTTTGTATTACAGGGGGGTAATATGACATTAAAAGTGTAAAATAAGATGTGCCATTTGAACTAGTTAACTCCAATGTTTTTATATACTGATAAAAATGGTTTTCTCATTGCAGCCTACTTGTCAGACAGCCTGTTATTCTGAAGAATGATCAAGTTGTTGAGTTCTTCAAGGGAAGCATTCAAATTCAACAAGGTCAACAGGAGCAAGTTCTGCCCCTGCCCCACCTCCTCGTGTTGGCTGTGGTGTGCCCCTATCCCCCATGTCTGTAAATACAGGTAATGAATGTTTCATTAAGAAGAAGTGAAGCACTGTTACTGTCTTTGTAGGATGTTATTTTTAATGATCGGAATTGCTTTGCTGCACACTTCCTGTCATACATGCACACAATGGGAATGCCTGGCTTTCAACTATTACAGGATTCTTTTGATGAAAGATCCCTGCATCTAATATATGTTGTAAGGAAGACTATAATGAGAGTCAGGTGGTGACCATTAGGGAAGATAGGTCATATGTTTAACCTGGTATATGGTTTGTCAGAGTACCCACAAGTACTGTGTACTGTTGTGGATCATTTCTCCAGCGATGAATAAAGGGCATGTGTGGATTGCCACAAGTTGCTCTGTTTGTTGCTGTCAACCATGTACCCACTCCGCAAAGTGTTGTTCGCACAATGCTGAAAACCTTTGCTGAGTTATTGCAGTTACAGTCACCTTAGCGGTAAGGTTGCTCTGTGTTACCAGCCACTGGACTTAAAAACTTTCCAGCTCTCCCGCCACCTTCATAGTAAAGTTCTTGTTTCTTGCACAGTTCTGTTCAGTTTTCTAAATGTTGTGTGGACATTTTTGTTGTCTGCTAAAGTGTTTGTTTCTATGACACTTGGTTCCATTGTTTTGTAGACGGGGAGCAGATGATACCTCCATTTCCACTGAAATCCTTGACAGTATGCAACTCGCAACTGCATCCTTATCCTCAAAATTTTCTTGGTAAGCCTCAGGGGGATTATTTTAGCTACGAGGCTTTGGTATTAGGGTTACTGGCACGTGGGGGAGCATTTCAACTCGCAAGGGGTTCTGTTGTTTTTGCATTAGACTGTTAAACTAATGGTTTAATATCATTGCTATGATACATTTAATGTGCTATTTATTTATTCTTTGGAATATTTGTTGAATGTTGCAGATGTAAGTGTGTGTGTAAAGAATGGCCATTTTCTGCATGCATGAGGTCAAATACCTTGGAAATACTGTATTTTTTTCATTCTTTGCATTTTTTTTGTTTTCTGCAGTAGAATATGATATGGAGCAGTAATTGTCAAATATTTCAGTAATCAAAACCCTTTACCCATCAAGCTGTAATCTCTGTAATGTATTTACTGAAATGAAAAATTCCTGGGAAGATTAATATTGGTGAAATCAGTTGCAAGCTTTCATTCTGTTGGGTTCAGGCTTGATCTCTCCTTGCTGTCGCCATCTTTCTTTGTTTATGCTCTACAGAATGTTGTGTGGTTTTCATAGCTTACAGTTCACATAATGAGCATTTTGAATAAAAATACAAAGTCTGATCACCATTACTTAGAAACAAATATTTCTAGGAAAAATTCATAATGTTCAAATATAAGAGAGTTATACCTCTTCATTAAGACCTATTTGTGATTATTGTGAATGAATCTATGTGTTGTATGCACATTTCAACTGTTTGACATGATGTTGTTTTGATGTGGCTATTCCAGTTCCTTTAGACCCAAGGTTGGCGAGATGTAACTCTTCAGACTATCTGCCTGTCCCCAACAACCAAAGGTAGGCACTGATGTTTTAAATGACTACAATGTTTCATGATTAGACTACTATTTTCTTTCATCCAGTGCATGTTCTTTCTATTTCCTCATTGTTGAAGTGTTTATATAAATAACACAAAAAGACATCCGTTTATCAAGGGAACACTCCAGCACCTTGAACATGTACTAGTTGCGTGGATGTGTGCGCTATATAAATAGCCTGTAATAATAATAAATACATTAGGTAAGATTATTCTTGCTATATCACTCAACTTTCTAAATTTATGAATCAACATCACAGAGATAATGAGGACATATTGTAAACATTTACTTGACCTTCATTTCCACTATCTTATGGAAAACTGCATTGGTGGTAAATCTCATTTACCTTAGGATGATGCATTGATTGCAACAAGTACTCAATGCATTTTAACACACATGTACCAAGGTTGTGAATATCCTATGCAAAACATGTTTTCTGCAGTTAATTAAAAATTGAAATGACATGAAATTCTCTTTTATTTCTTCCAGGCATGTCTGTCCCCATGGAGTTGTCTCCCATCATGTAGACTCTCCATCTCACTCTTCCCCTTCCTCAACAAATGGGTCTCCACTCAACAGCCGATCCACATCCCCCAACCAAAGCTCGGACATGTGCATGGAAACTGTTCAGCTGCTGAAACTCCTCAACCTTGATCAGTACTCAGACTTACTTGGGAAACTCACCCTCAAACAGGTACAGCCATCAACAGCCTTCGAATGCTTGTCATTTTCTGACATATTTCCTAAACTTTATATTTCTTCTCATAACTGAGGGTTTGTGTTTTGTACAAGTTGCTTTGTAGGCAGTCAGTCACCCAGCTGATAGAAACTTAAGTTATGAATGTACCATTATCTTTTGCAAATAAATTTCACCTTCTCCCATTCAGACATTTCTTTAGTATTCATATGCTTATATGCTATTTCTCAGCTGAAGTCCCAATCTTCAGAAGACTTGACGAAAGCTGGTTTACCAAAGGAAGCCCAGAACAATCTCAAGTCTAAACTGGAAACTATCAACAGGTAATTGTGATCAAATTATGTGAAACCAAACATCGTATGCAAGGTCAATAGTGAAAATGTAAACTTAGTTTAATTAAGGGCATCAACACTACAGATATTTCGAGAAAATTTCATATTCTTCTTCATAGAGATCGTCCTTGGGGTACATATTATGCATTTTCCAAGCTGAAAATGTCCTGTGACAGTTGTATCAATGTGTTTTGAATAAAAAGATTGTACAATAAATAAACTCTTTTATTTATTATACGGCCCCCACCTCACGGAGTTACCTCCCGTTGCGCATGCGCACCAACTGGGTAAGCACCTAGGCCCGTATCATCATTCCTTCAGCTGTCACTGCCCCTAACAGACGCATGTGTCGAGCAGAGCTGACCTTTTCAGAACGAAAAAGAATAATGTCTGGAACACCACCTGTATGTATGGTCTTTATTACCTTTGCAAAAGGAACAGTAAAGCTTTGCGGTCGGTTGTTTCATAATTGTGACTTTGTATTAATTATTTTACGCTAACTTTCCCGTGGTTTACGCACATGTTGCTCTGCCATGGCGGGAAGTTTAGCGTGCCACGTGGTTGTAATATTGCGTATTGAACCAACTATTTCTTCCCGTGGTAGCCTTCACGTATTTTTCAATGTTTTCTACGTGTATATATGCTGCTGGTCCGCCGTTAGCTACATGCTTGCGTGTTTGCTTTCAGGCGTTTTCCTCCTGTTCGGTCTGTGGACAAAGTATTCCACGGGCCGACAGGCACGACAAATGTATTGTCTGCCTAGAGAAGACCGGCCATGAGGCCGAAACCTGTGAAATTTGTATGGGGTTTTCCCCCCGGGCTCAGAAGCGGAGGGCTGCCGATACTCTCTTTTATAGAGAGATGCGGGAGGCGGGAGGGGAACTTACCCAGGTCCCCCCGTCTAAGGCTAAAAAGTCTAAAGGGAAAAAATCCCGTAGCCAGTCCCCTGCTCCCGCTCCTGGTAGCGGTTTTGACATGACTTTAATCACACAGATGTTTCAGCAGCACGCAGACTCGATGAGGTCCCTCGTTCATGAGTCGGTTGGAGGACTCCGGCAGGAGTTCCTCGCCCACTCTGAGCGTGGGGCGGAGAGTCTTGGGGGGGGATCGCCGAGCCCGGCTCGATCCCTAGGCCTTGAGGCGTCTGTTGACCCGTTGCCTCTGGCTTCGGGTCCGGACGCCTCGGCTGCCCCGGAGAGGGAGGTGCTCCCAGTCCCCCTCTCGGGAGTTGGCGCAGGGACCGTTGATGATTCCTGGGGTTCCGATCCCTGCGCCCTCCCGCCCCATGAGAGCGGAGGCACCAGTTCTGCCTGGTATGCCTCCAGCGTCTCGGGACCGGGGTCCGTGCACGCCTGCAGGCACTGACGCGGGGCACTCTGTCTGCTCCTCCCTCTCTGTTGTTCCTAGTGCTAGGCCGCCCACCGGGTCGGGGTTCGGGTCCTCTTCGCGAGGAGACCCAGCCTCAGACTCGGGCTCGGGCGCCGAGTCGATGGATACTGGGGAGGTCGAGGAGCAGGAGGGTGCCTTCCGTTTCTCTTCGGCTCTGCGGGAGGTCAGGCAAAGGATTGCCGAGTACCTACCCCAGGCCGCGGTGCCTGTTAGCAGCTTGGACTCGGCTGAGTTCCGCTTGCCAGGCGAGGCGTTTGCCCCTAGGCAGCCTACGCAGACGCAGCTCCGCATTCTTCCATCGTTAGTCCAGGACGTGGTCGATCCCCTCTTGTCTGGTTCTCGCCTCGGTTTTGACTTGCCGGAGCTTGTCCGGAGATACCAGCTTGGGGAGGATTCCCTGTTCGTGGTACCTATTGTGGATGAGTGTGTTTTCACTTCAGTCGCCTTGTGGGGAGGCTCGGCTTCCTCCGGAGCAGCTCCGGCTGCTCGGCAAGGACGTGTGACTCCACCGTTTGCCCTCGCGGGCGCCCCCCTGCGGCATGCGTACCGTACCTACCGAGGAGGTTTACAGGAACGCTATGCAGGTCAGGGTGGTGGTCCATGAGGCCTACCTCACCTCGATTCAGAGGTCGGCCCTGGAAGCGGAGGGGCATGCTGGTGACGTTTCACCGCATGTCGTGCTACTCCGTCAGTTGTCTGAAGTGCAGGCCCACCTCGCTCGCGACTCTTTGCGGTCCGCTGCGTCGACAGTGATGTGCGCAGTCATGGGGATGCGCAAGCTGTGGCTGTTGACGTCTCGTTACTCGGCAGCGACACAGCAGACCTTGCTGGCCCTCCCCTTCCGTCTGGGAGCGACCCTCTTTCCAGGGGCACAGCAGGTCATACGGGAGGCTGCCGCTGCAGCTACCTCCTTCAAGGACTCTAAGGCCTTGTTGGAGCACCCGCGGGTGTCTCGCCCCAGCGCTCCCGTTCCACCTTCATCCGCTGGGGTGCAGCCTACACCCGAGTCCGCTGGCTGGCTTCGGCCGCTTGGCAGGGGTAAGCGGAGGCACAGGTCCGCCAAGGGTAAGGGTAAGGGCAAGGAGCAGTCCTCGACTAGCTCCCAGCCTTTTCGCGGGCGCGGGAGGGGACTGTGTTTCACGCTGATCGTGTCAGTATTCGCCTCCCGGATACGTACCGCCCGAAGGTCGATCACGCTTTCCATGTGACAGCTCCTATCGAACTTCCCACTCTTACCCAGTCTTCCACATCGGGGACCTCTGCAACGAGCACTCACCCGTTGGATGTCTGTAAGACCCTCAAAGTCTATATCAAACGAACGCAGGGCATCCGTACGGGTACCCAGCTGTTCTGTTGTTACGGTGGCGGGAAGGCTGGTGTGCCAGCGAGCAAGCAGACTTTGTCTCGCTGGCTAGTTTCGTGTATTTGTGCCGCTTATCAGGCTAAGGGCAAGCCTCCCCCTGAGGGGTTGAAGGCTCACTCGGTCAGGGCAGTAGCCGCATCAAAAGCTTTTGCATCGGCACTCCCCATTGAAGAGATCTGCTCTGCCGCTATTTGGAGCCGGCCTAGCACGTTTATTCGGCATTATCAGCTCGATACGCATTCCCGTAATCGTGCGAGCTTTGGCCGTTCTGTTCTCTCCAGTGGACAGTGTCCTGCCACCCTGACCAAGTGAGTCTTGGTTCATTGGTTTTGTTTGACGCTACTGTACAATACTGTGTGTTATTGACATGTCTGCTACTGGGAGCTAACTACCCACATTTCGTCTCTCTACGGAGTAATAGGTCGATTGTGAGCGGTTTTGACATTCCCCCCTACGGTGCTCACTAATCGACACGTGGTGGGTGGGGCTTTGTTGACATTCGTACCATGTGCGATTGCCTATGCTAACATATGGAGGTCGTCTTTGAGCACAAATCCTCCCTGTCAGTTCCTCCCATAATGCTCTCGCGGAAGCGAAACTGGGACATGTGACAGGTGAGTGTTATGGCGTCTGTTCAATTTTTTCCCATTAACGATAGCTATTTGTGTGTGCTTGGACAGAATTCCCTCCTCCCTGGCCTCCGGTCTTTGGGAGTCTGTGTTTATGCATAATATGTACCCCAAGGACGATCTCTATGAAGAAGAATTAACCAAACCTGAAGAGGTTTTAAATTCTTCGAAGAGAGTCGTCCTTGGGGTAGGGCCTCCCGCCTCCCCGCAATTCTGTTCACTGATGTATTCAGCAGAAGGAATGATGATACGGGCCTAGGTGCTTACCCAGTTGGTGCGCATGCGTAACGGGAGGTAACTCCGTGAGGTGGGGGCCGTATAATAAATAAAAGAGTTTATTTATTGTACAATCTTTTTATTCAAAAAACATTGATACAACTGTCACAGGACATTTTCAGCTTGGAAAATGCATAATATGTACCCCAAGGACAACTCTCTTCGAAGAATTTAAAACCTCTTCAGGTTTGGTTAAATTTTCATGAACTTGTTGTCCCAGGCAAGACTTGATCTGCATTAACCTATTCTTGTCATATGGATGGTAAAAGAAAAAGAGGATGACGTCAGTCATTGGCTCTGGTTCAGTAAATATAGTATTCTTTGAATGTTTTTGGAACTTGTCAGTTTTGTTGATCCAAGAAGTACCCTTACAAATCATTCATTGTTCTATGGCAATATGGAGTATTGGGGTAGCCAAGTGGTTAAAGCGTTTGCTCGTCACGCTGAAGGCCAGGGTTCGATTTCCCTTATGGGTACAATATCTGAAGCCCATTTCAGGTGTCCCGCCATGATATTGCTGGAATATTGCTAAAAGCAGCGTAAAACCCAACTCACTCACATATGCTAATATCTATATATAGTCAGTATTTTGGAGAATTTGTATATGTAGTTTGTTTTGCTTTTGTTTCAGAGAGAAAGCAAATCCTTCATTGAATGGCATGGTGGATGGTTCCAGTGGCACCTTGTCCCCTGCTTCTCCCAATAACATGCCCTGGCCCACAGCCCATGCTCCCCCTATTGTTCCCATCCCCTTTTTAACTGGCCCCATCTATGTGACCCATTCCCCAGCCCCAGTTGTACCCCCACCCCAGCCAGATGCCGGTGGGTCAGACTCAGAGGTATCAAGTGCACCTCCTAGTCCAACACAGATGTGTAATTTGAGACAGAGACAGAAGACAGACAGCTCTGGATCAGATGACAATGACAAAGGTTGGTGATGATATTACTGGCAATTGCTTCACCATCCATGAAGGATGTCAAGTTTTCACACTGTAATCAACATGGTAATTCTCAATCCTCAGTTTCCTACAAAAATAATGTACACAGTGGGGGGAAAAAAGGCAATTAGTAAAAGATCTTCACTTTTTTAACCCCTTTAATTTTGAAAACTTATATGTTTACATTGTTATTATATTTATATAGATCATTTTATATGTTACTTTGAATGTTTTATAATCAGAGTCTTTTTTGCAGACAAGCCCAATGGTAGTGAGTTTGATAATTCACGAGCAGACGGTAAGAGGAGGATGTATCCAAATCGCCCAGGATTACTTCCACCTAGGTCAGGAGGGCCTTACTCTGAAGAGATGAAGGGTGGTTTGGTGAGACAGCCCTCCCCCCACAACGTCTACTCTGACGCCAAGCCTGACCAGGCCCCTGTTGCAACTGCTGCTATGTCCACACACAACGGGTATCAGTCGGACCCTAATCCTAGTCCAGGGACATCGTCAGGCTACGCACCGCGCCATGCTGTCTTTCCCTCCATGCTTCGTCCCTATGTCAAGCCAGCTCCAGCACACACAAACTTAGCTCTACATAACAAGAATGTCATCAACATGCCACAAGAAGGTCACATCAAGCAACAACCGCATATGATGATGTACTACCACGCTGTGCGCCAAGACATTCCTATGACCACAAGTGTGATGCCATTGAATCTGAACAACAATACAATTACCAATCAAACATATAGTGCTAACAGTGAGGCTGTCAGTTCTCAAAGGATTTTGCAACCATATAATATGTCGTTATGTCAGCGAGGCCCGATGGTGCCTCTGCATGGCCCAAGATCTGTGCTTACCAATGTTAACAGTGCCACATCTGTGACTGTTTCACAAGGGGGGTCCCCTCAGTCTATTCCAGCAGGCCACTCTGCTGGTCCAGCTAACATCAGTGTGAAACCTGCTAATGGTGTCCCTGTTCCTATGCCCAACCCATCGGGGACACCACCAGAATCTGGTCATTCTGGCAGTGACTCTCCTCTTCAGATGATTCACAATGGGAGTCAGAGCACTGCCTCCACCACTATCACATTCTCAACTGCAACGTCAACATTCTCAGCCTCACCCCAGACAGTAACCACTACCACTCACGCTCAGTGTAGTTCGTGTGGCTGCAACTGCAACAGCAGCATCCCCTCCTCTACTAACTATCAGCCTCAGTACAATGTCCTACCGCCGTATCCGTACTACATGCAAGCAAGCCTCTACCAAAATGGCATGATTCCACCCTTCTCCAACATGCCCACCTATGGGCACCATGTCCCTCCACCTGCCTATCCTAATGGACTAAATCATGAAATGTATGTCAACCATCCAGCATTTCCTCAAATGCATCCAGCCATGGCGGCTCCCCACTTGGTCCAGAGCTTGTATGGGAACCTCCACCATGGTCAAGGCAACCCTGGCGCTCATGTCAAACACAAACCTCAGGGCTGCTACAACTGTGGCTCGTCCTCACATAAAGCACAAGACTGCAAGGAAAATTCAATGGATGCTATGTCAGGTGAGAACAAACTTTATGTCAGCAGTGCCCTATATAACTTTTTGTCTGTTCTCTTAGTGCCGCCCAGGTGGATTAAGTTATCTGGAACCCTGTCTAAGGCTGAGTTCTCAGTGATAATGATTCTTGGTTTGTGAACATGTTAGATGTTAGCTGTTAGATGTTCTCTCTGTCTTAGTGAAATGCATTGACAGTAAACTGACAAAAATGTGTGAAACAGCATTAACTAGACCTCCCTCCTCATGGGTAACTTTGAGAAATGTTCCGTAGTTGTATATTTCACTCCATGTGTTACAATGTTGCAACAAACATACTACTAATCATTAGCCGATTTTCATAATAATCCATTTTAAGTTCGCAAAACATGGTTTGAGTTCTTCAGATCAGTTGTCTTTAAGTTCAAATACCAAAGAAGATCTCAAACCCCATCATTAATTTCAAAAACTGCATTAAAACTGAAATGTATCTAGACCTGGTTTGATGCAGATAGAAGTGTTCTAAATGTTGCCACTTAATATCATATGTGTCTTGTGAGTATATAACTCTGGCATGTTTTCTGCAGGAAACTACCATCTTGACTACAAACCAAAATCTGATTCTGACTGACAACGACTCCGACCTGGTCGGTATGGACGATCAGGACTAGTGCGTGTCAGCTGTCTGGCTTCTCCATGAACTCTCAATCCAACCTTCAACACATTTTGACAGGCTGTCTCCCTTAATATTGAAGATACAAAGTTTACAGTTGGCTGTGTGCAGTTTTCTGTTCAACCATTTAGATAAAATTGACATTACTGACATGAGTAGATGTTTCTGAAATGAAGTCCAAATAGCCATCATGCAGATTGGACAGTCTGACTTTGTGCTGAAAAACACTATTTGTCATGTTGATTTTGATACAATCCATCACAGTTTTACACGTCTATATCAGCCATGTCAGTTTGTGATGGACAAATGTAGAATTTGGCCACTTGTTGTTGAGGTCAAGTGAGGTCACAGTGGTGTGAATTGATACTGGCTGCTCACATCTACTCCCAAACTTACAAACATAATCTGCAAAGTGCTGAAGCATGACAATTTTCCTTCATGTTGTTTCCTCTTTTAGTCCTGGTCTATTGATGGGATTCAGGATTTTAAATATCATGTCAACCTGTCTTCATACATGTGCCCTATTTTCATAACTTTATCATATCATTTAAGTATTAATTCATCTTAAAATCAGTGAAGTCTTCTCATTTTATCATCTGTGTATTTCATTTGTTTATGTTAAGATTGAAAAGGACTGATATCTGATATAAAGCTAGATTACAGTTTATGAAAATGCCTCTAAGTAATTCGACTGTCAGTTTGCAAGACAGTAGCCTTTTTGATATCACTGCTGCATGGTTTAAAGGCAGCAAGGAAAGTAACACAGTTCTTATTTGGCTTTAATTGACTTGTTGGGACAGTACATCACTGTCTATCTGGGATGAAAATAAGCTCACAGTCGTGTATGTGAGTGTACGTGTACACATTTTACCCCTCTGGGCATTTAGTACTTGGTGAGAGTGTCCGACAAACGGACTGATGGCTTGTCCTTCCCTTGCTGTCTGTCCTGCCTGTTAGTGCAATGGTGGTAGTCCAGGACTGGCAGGCGGTGGCAGTGCTATTGTGAGCTGTTTACTGTAGCCGTTTATATAGCATCAGTCAAACTTGTTATCACCAGTAAATTATTTTAGCTATGGAGATACTGATTGTCAAGACATATCTAGTTAGCAATGATCTTATTGCCAATTCATATCTTACTGTTGGGAGAAGCTGTATTTGGCTTACGCAAGTCATGTTGGTCATATCGTTCACTGAGTAGCTGTTTAGAAAATGTTTACTAGTGATAGTAATATATTTTTATGGAATTGAAATCACTTATTCTGGACAAAAACACGTATCTGTCAACTTAGCAGTTTGCACTTTGATTGCAGACCTTTTTCCAGTTGAAACTGGATATTTCTGGTTTGTCTCATGTCACGCTAGTCATGTCATACATCAAAACACTTTGCCCAAGTGCTTGTTTATCATGATATTTATTTTTATGAGTTTATTTTATAATGTATATTTCCCAACATATGTGCTCAAGTAGTGTGGTGTCCACCCCTGTATGTATATGTATGTATCATTGTCTCTTCACTCCATTGCTGTTCACTCGTGCAGGTATCAAGGGGAAAAGGTACTGGAGGTGAATTTTTTCTGTGAGGAAACTCATTCTATAAGTTAAGAGACAACCCTCCTTAATCAGAGCAGAGTATCCTATCCTTGATGAGAGAATTTACCTCCAGAAATTAAGAGAATATCCTTCTTGATGAAAGGAAACTATCCTTTTTGTCGTTACGAAGCTATCCTTGATGAGAGGATAGTATCCTGTCCTTCTAGAAGTTTAGAGAATATTATTCTTGATGAAAAGAAACAATCCTTCTTGATGTTAGGAGACAATCCTACTTATACTTTGCATATCTTATCCTGTAGGTTAATGTGCAGTTCGTATTTGCATTTAACACATTGTTTATCAGATTGAAGGATGGACAAGCAGTAAATTAGGCAAAAAACTTGAGACCTTTTTCTTTTTGATCATTCATTGTCATTGTGTGTCCTTGTGTATGATTCAAGTCAGTTTCAGTTAATAACTTTATCCAATAACTCTAGTCTGGCTGTATACAGGTGAGGTTCATATGCAATATTTTATAAGTTGTGTTTCAGTTCCCAAATGTTTATCAAGTAGTTAAACCACATGGAGTTCCTGGTTACTAGGTTGGTCACACTAATTCATTTCATAATTGAAATATGATGCAAACTTGCCACTAGGGTACGATATGACTTGCAGAAGTACGTACCAGTTCTTGTGCAACTACATGAATGGTTATTTTATGCATATCCATGTAGAAAGTATTAGCTAAGTCGCGAGGTTATGGGCTACTGGGTTTTGGTCCGGGGGCTGGTTCAACAAATGGATCTTAATGCTATGGCAATCCTAAGTCCTTCAGAATAGATGTGATCATTAGCATAGTTCTAAGATCCCTTGGTAGAATTACCCTGATGCCCTGTCATTATTATACCACACTGACCGTAGCTTTAACATGGTGGTGTTCTTTCACAATAATTACTTTTTGTCCCAAATATGAGGGATGAACTAATATCACAATGAAATGTTAGCCATCTTCTGTTGCAACTGGAATGTAAAATCAGAACAGATTGATCCTTGTTAGTACATTTTTGTGTTTACAAGGCAAGGTGACCACATGAACCAGAAGGTGAAAGATTCTCAGGTTTGGAATGTAAAAGAGAAACATTTTTGAATATATAATCTACTAATTACTGGACAGTTTCACTGTAGCCTCATCCAACATTCAGGTGTCACTTGACTCCACATTTGTATGTCCCGTTCAGTCACATGAAACCTGGTCTCTTCTGTCTTGAGTCACTGTAGATAGATCATTTTTGTATGTTAATTGGTTTGCTTTCAAGTGTGCTGTTTAAAAAATCATGTGCCAATTTTTTTGTTCAGAAGAGTTTGATTGAGCAAATCTTGGGTAACCCAAAGTGAAAGTGGTCTGGTTTAATATTCCTCCCTTCCCATCATCAACCCATGGCAGCCCAGAGATGAAGCTAGAATTTGTCAGCATCACCTGCAGCTGTTTGTCATGGGAACTGTAATACTGAGGATTGTCACATGTTGTAACAATCTCCGGTCATACTTGTATATTTTATGGTTTACAGACTATTTCTAACCTATTACTTGATTGATTGTAATATATGTTAATATGAGGCTGATCAGGGCTACTTTTACATTTGATGTTTTAGTCTATTTTCTAATCTGTCAGAATTATGATTTTCTGGGGAAAGAAGACTAAAAATTAAGATTAAAATTATGCAATAAACAATGTTAACGATCTTTATGTTATTCTGGTGTATCTGTAAACCCCAAAATAAAACAAGTGGCCTTATTATTTGTAATATATCCACATTAATGCCATTTAAGAACTTGAAAATCAAACCCATCATTGTTCATTAGCGCTCAAATTATTACATGGATAATAGTAACATGACGAATGATGCACTGGCACACTGTACCTATTGCCACTGGTAATCTTTTCCAGATAGTGAAACACATCTTTATTCATCATAGCAATAACATCAACAGTCTTAAGTTTAGGTTTCTCGTGAACACTCAATATGGAAAGTTTTTAAATTGCTTCTTTAACATGGATTGTTCGTTAAGGTGACAGTAACCGGTGACATGTTTCTCAGAGTGATCCTACTGCTACATTGTGGTAACTCTAAAACATCAGATAGTGTTACAACAGATGTAGGCAACGTCGCTGTTGGAAATGAGGCACTGGTCTTTGTTTTATTTGTGACATCATCAAGCAGTATATAGAACATTTTACTGACAATAGCCTTAAGGAATCCTTTGATATCTCGGATTCCTATATAGTCTGTGTCTCTTGAGAAATACACAAAGAACACTAGAGCATATACATCTATATATTATATTTGTGCATATTGATTTAAAGTGACTGCATTTGTGCCCTGAACTTGTCTAACCTGTCTCAGCACAGCCAAAGATGCACTTTTCTATTATAGACACTTCTTGGAAATACATGACATCTTTTATTTGTGTGAATGATTGACAGATGTTTGTTTCTCTTAAACAACTTGTAAGCACTGCTATGCAAAAGTGTAATTTCTTCCTTGTATGTACATGTGTGTTAGAGAATGAATCAGAAACTTCTTTCAAAATCAAGGGCTATATTCTTGAACTAAAAAATGTCATCATCAAATTAACCGATGTGCATAGGATGCTGTGGTCAGCATGATAGTAACTGTTGTCTTTCATGACAGGCTGTAGCCATGGTCCTTGCATGATACCTTCCCCATTGGCTTTCACTTACTAGTAGTCATTAGACAGAGTTTGCTTTGTGTGAAGGTGCCCTGGTTAGCATGAATTTATTTCAGTGGCTAAAAAATTATAAAATTGACACTTATTCCACATGTACGAGGTTAGCTCTTTATGTGGAAATCAGTTACTCAGTGATGCCACTCAACATAAGACACTGCAAGATTTTCATTTCACTTTCATGGATCTTGAATATTTGGACATTGACTATGAATCAATGTTGATTTAATAAGATACTGAGAAGGAAATGTACATAATTCTGTACAGTGTTAATTGCATGGGAATGAAGTGATATTTATTCTCTGGTAGAAAGTCACAAGTATGAGATCACAAATAGAAACAAGTACTGTGATGTCCCAATGCTGCCCCACCCCTCTGTAAATAACAGCATAAGTTGTGTATATTTGAGTTACATGCTTTACTACAGCCAAAATAGTTTGATATTTCAGAGCATAACTGCAATTTACTTTTCTTTGTCAACAAATAGAACTTTGATTGAGGTTTGGGTAACAACAGTTTGCAGTATAAATAATTAATAGCAGTTTGTGATTGAGGGAATTGAAACTATATTCAGCTGCGTCTTTTTGACAAAGTCCTTGTTTGCAAGTCTAACCACTTGCTGAGGCATTGTTCTGATGTATGGATCATGTTTGAGTGCTTATTTTTGCTATTCTGGCATCTCATTTGTGCTTTGTGATGGTGTGGGGAACTGACAGCACTCCAGTTCCCTTGTGGAGTTGATATGGAGCCTCACCAGATCACCTTGACATGTCTTGCAGTCAGAGAGTATAGCCTCCTCAGCAGACTAAGAGTCATGCAGATCATGACATGTTTCATTTATTAGAATTACATTTTAGTGCAGTTAAAACTTCCTTTTTATTGTATTTGTAAATGATATGTACAGTTTTGTTCATAACTTATTTCAGATTGACATTGCACAGAACTCTCAAAAGTAAGAATGTGATATACTGTATTCGGGGTATTGGCTGATCCTCCAGCGTGACATGACTGATATGCAGTAGAGAAAGACCAAGTTCTAACAGGATCAACATACAGCTGATATGTACCGTCACACATCAGTTAAAGCCAAGCTACAAAGGCGCAGCCTGCTTGTCTCATTGTATTACTGAATGGGAACCTATGCCATACGTATTTGACAAAAGGAATAACGTTATCCATAGCACATTGATGTATAGGTCTAGTGCAGGTCCACTGGCTGTCTGGTGTGGTGCTGTCATTCCCTATAAGTGCTGTTGTTGAGCCTTGTTGATATACACATACATCTTAGTGCATACATCTGTACATCGTTTGGCCTTTGGCTGTATCTGTATTGCCAATCTCAAACACTCACCATTGTCAAGTTCATCGCCTGTTCAGAAACATATGTAAACTATGTCATCAGTATTTTTTTAAAGGTAAATGTATTTTTATTGAAATTCAGAGCAAGATGTTTTCTTTATGTACAGAGGATTATAAGCAACTGGTAGTTATTTTAGCCAAAGTGTGAGTGTTGAAAAAGCCAAAAACTGCGAGTGAGTGTTGCTGTGTGTAGACTTTTCATGAGTTTGGTGCCAATTTTACTGTTTTGTCTGCAGTTGTGCCATGAGTGTGGTATGTTGATGATGGATCTTGCATTTATGAGGCTGTTCAATATGTAGTGTTAACATGGGTGGTAATGAGTTGTTTCATTGAAAGTCATTTGTTGAATGTTTATTTTAAAGAATGATTAATATATTTCTTTTTCTGTAGTGTTATAGCACATCCATTTTTCCGGTTTAATTATAAATAACAATTTCTATGACTTTATTAGAGTTGTATGTGAAAGGTTTTTGTCCTAAAAATTAAGAATCAGGATTCTGACTGTGATTGTAATTTGCCTTGAGCATATTCCCAGTCATGAACTTTTCTTGGAGTTCTTCATGATTCAGTTGTGGCAAATTTCATATTTGGAATGAATTTGAAACAATGTCTGTGCTTTTTCTCACCATGATTTCTAAAGAACTCCACTTGAATGTGCCATTTTGCTTCTTTCTCTATGTCATGCAGAAGCAAATCTTTGGAATTCTGTATAACATGGTGTTTCAACATCAGTATTATGGCCAAGTACTGTCATAATTATTCCTATGTGTAGAGGCAGAAAGCTACGAACACTGGTTTACTCTTTGTGGAGAAATGTTTCATGGAATCTTTTCATAGTCAGTTGCTAATTAGAAATAATGAATTTTAGGTTTGTAGTTGAACAAAGAATGAAGTAAATTTGATAGTTTATTTAAGGTTTGTTCATCAAATTTATTTGAATATAATTCACCATGTTAACAGTGTAACAGCATCCTTTTAACAGAATGAACGAGAAGTGTTTTATTGTGTGTGTCTGATGTTTGTTGGTCAAAAGTGCAACACTTAATTCCCAGTGTCCATTACTATGGAAACAAGATAAAATGATTTGGTCTGTTTCTTCACAACGTTATACAATTCCAGTGACAAATGTGATGGCTTTTAGAATGGTTTTATAGGTGCTACTGTTATGCTATGGGATTTTATTTATTGGATCACTTGTTACAGATTCAAATTATTTTATGTTCCTTGATTTCAATTAATGTCATTAATTTTAGATTATCCAATGACGTGGCTGTTAGACCATCCAATGACGGTTTGTATATTATGACAGTACCAGATATTACTGTACTTTTATCTGATACTAGTTGACTTTATGGAAACACTGACTAGATACGAAACCTTTAGGTGTCAAGTCTTGTATGTAGGCAGACTATCTTCACACATTTCCCCTTTAGTCACATGTTAAAATTCTCCAGTTTGTCTTACGATGTTATTTGCGACTGTGTATAGGATTGTTGGTAGGTTGCTGTAGAGTAGGTCTCTCAAGTATTCCATGTTTATTCCAGTTGTGAGATAAAATGTTGAAATGTTCAGTGCGACTTATCGGACATTGACACAATATGATGTATGCCTTGTTGAATAAAGAAAATATATATATTTTGTTAGATAATTTTCATATCTTCGCCAACTTCCTTGGCTAGATTTGTGGTATCGTTGCTCAAAGATACAACCCGATCTGTTCAAATGAGAACTTGACATTGTGAGTATCATTATGCTAAATTTTGTGGATATTAATATAAACAGCTGTTTGCATATGGAAGTTGGTCTCCAAGACTGTTTGAAAGCTTGCTTGGAAAGTTGACTTTGTACATATTTATCAAATCACTGTGTTCCTGTACAGAGAAAGAATGGTTTTTAAGTTAATGTGTGTATGAAATGCCTCCTGTGTTGTTTATGTTGAAATATTTTTCATCAGCATGGGCTGATACTGCAAGGTTGATATATTTGTAGCCATTGAACACGGAGGGAAGTGTCAATTGTATTTTATGCATCAAAATAACTGATCTTGTAATAGGAAATCATGACAAATAAAGCCAATAAAAATGGATAAAACGAACTCCAAATGTTTGTTCCTGTCATGTTTTTGAGACATTTAGAATTATCTTCGTTGGGACTAATACTCTTGGACCGTGAATGCAAGTTCTTGTGGTTGCAGTATCACAGCTCCATTTGCAGAGTGTTCTTTGAATTCAGGAGGTATAATTACCATGATTGTATGAAGTGTTGGAAACATTTCATGGTGAACAGTACCTAAAATCAAAACATGGGGCACAGGTGGACTATTTGTCTAAGGGACCGTTCATAGTTTATGGCTGGAGGGTGATGATTTTTATGGAGAAGCATGTTCAATGTGAATGCCCTCCAACCCCCCAAATTTATGTACAAAGTAAGTGACCCCCCTGCATGTCGTACAAAATCAGTGAACCCCCTCCCTCTTCCTATAATGTTTAAGCATAATTTCTTTATGTACAAGCGTATTAGGCTCCGTACGTACGAATTAGAATATCTTAAGAACCGTCGACTTGATTCTTTTCATATTTGGTACTTGGGTTCATCACAGTATAAGAAAGGTCCAAGTCAGGTTTGGTGACCTTGACCTTCATTTCAAGGTCACAAGGGAACTTTAACGTTTTACTCTTGTCAGCGAGATATCTCAAGAATCACTCACTAGATTTTCTGTTTGGATAAACGTGTTGTATACAGTTTTCGAGAATTCAGTGTGAGAAACCTGTGTCGCCTGTGTGATGCACATGAAAAGTGTCCCTCATGCCTGTGTCCCAGGGCAAGTACACAGTTCATGTGGAACCATAATTATTACTTGCAAATGATGGGTCTCTATGAAGCCTAAATGAGAAAAGAGAAATATTAATGTGGGTCCTGCTGTCAACACTTTTTTTCCATGAAATTGTGACTTTCTTTAATGACTTTGATATAGAACGTCATTGAGGAATGGTGTACAGTAACAAATTAGTTGAACAATCAAAGACAGGGGTCAAGTTTCAACTGCCCCTCAGAATCCAGCACACAGACTGTCTCTCGTAGCCACCAGTGCACCAAAGATTAACAGGCAGAAAACTTGTAAGGGTCAATTACAAGAGGATAGATAGTTGTGTGACCCAAAGAATTTGTGATTTCATACTCATTATACACAGTGACCAAACTGAGCAGGTCAGTAAGTGGCACAGTCATAATTTGCAAGGAGCATGGCAGACTTACATGGTTCCTGGCTAATCGAGGATGTTAGATAACAAATCTGTAGCTACCAGTAGTCCTCCATGGCTTGTCTGCCATTACATGATTGCTGAGGGACATTCAGGAACATTCACTCACTCATGATATGCTAAAACGTAATCTTACATGACGAACAAGTTCCTTAAATGAAAAGTGAAACTCAAAACTTGTAATATCACATTTTATTCAGGCTGAAACAGGACATGTTATTTCCGCCTCCCCGTGCTCTTCTTGACCCCGATCTGATGCCGCCGCCTGCCGTTCTGGCCTTGGCGCATTATACCGAGTTGCGCAGCCCGACTTGTGACATCATTGCGACAGAAGGGAGATTCTGAAGCCATGAAATCTGGGTCGAACACATCCATGGACTTCAGAGATTTCTTTGTTGGTCGCTGATGAGGAAATGGTTGGTCTGCCACAAGAATGGGGTTGTTGGCGTGCTTACCTCCTTTCGGTGTTGGTAGTGAATACTGTAAAGAACAGACAAGTGCATATGAACAGATACCAAGAAGCACCAAGAAAACAAACTTCTTCTAAAAGGTGCGTGAGAAGTAACTCCAAAACTCCAGGAGACTCTAATAAACTTTGTCCATGTATGAACATGGCAATTCAGACATGGGCGCTTTCGCTGAATTCATCACACATTCTCAGAAGCCACAAGTCCTATAAATATGGTTGCCAATGTTACGATTGAGGAACACCTACCACAGATGCCCAAAACTTTAAGTGTATTCTTAAAAGAATTGAAATATCAAATTCAATCATTCAAATAGCCATTATTTTTTCATTACACAGGACTCCCAATGTACATTTTGGGTCCAGTAAAATCCTGAATGTATTATGGTTGGTTTGACAAATGAGCAGTATGATACACTGAATATTGGAGGTTGACAAGACAAGAATTGTACCTTTAGTCCCCTTGACGAGAGCTTCTTCCTCCTGGAGAAGAAGTACTTGATGGTTCCGTCATCCTGTACAGTCATGGCGATACGCTTCAGTGTATGGTTTCCACAGTGAGGACAAAACAACTTTTCCATTTTTGATGTTACCCTGAAGCAAACAGACAGGGGGTTACTTTACACAATTAAGTGAGTGAGTGAGTGAGTATGGTTTAGCAATATTCCAGCAATATTAGTGTGGAACACCAGAAATGGACGTCACACATTGTACCCATGTGGGCAATAGAACCCAGGTCTTCAGTGTGATGAGTGAACACTTTAACCACTAGGCTACCCTTTCACCCGTCACACAGATGACAAAAAGTCAGAAACTGCATTCAGGATTAACAGAAAACATGACAGTTACTTTGAGCATTGCTACTCATAGTCTTGAAAGCAAACATTTTGTTTTCACCCACCATGGCTCCCTCCCATTATGAAAACATGGTGCACTTCAGGCCCTTCTATGAGTTATATTGAGGCATATTGGATGAAAACAAATGGTTCTTTGAAGGGAGAAAAATCTATGGTTGCTGACCATAAATTAACATCATAAACACTGTTTTCTTTAACTTAAGCAGTCATGTTGAACGTTGTTTTCCCTTTATTGCATTTTATGTAATTTAATGGTGTTGTTAATTGGTTATGAATATTCAAGACAATAAAAAATTATTAAAATCTAAATATTTTAGATATTTAAATACTTACCTTACTTCATGGTAATGTGCATATTACCTTTGCTCATCCGATACAAAGATTGGAAATGTGATCGATAAGTATCCTTGTTGAATGCTATCATGAAACTGGTGACGTGTCGATCTCGATCGTCATGTGACAACGAAAACACGTCACTTTATCCGAATCCTGAAGTCCAAGTGGAGTCCAAAGCGGGGAGGAGATGATCCATCGTAGGGAGGGCGTAAGACACCATGAGATAAGGTAAGTATTTAAATATCTAAAATATTTAGATTTTAATAAATTTTTAACTTACCTCATGGTAATGTGCATGTTGATCCGACAGAAAGGCAGGAGGGTCGGACACCGGCGAGGGCCAGCCAAAACTATCAGACCAAAACAGCACAACCGGTGACGTGGAAACTGTCTTGTTGTAGAACTGGAATCGTTGAAACCAGAACAGTAAACCACCAGTAGAACCCCTGATAAGGAAACAACACGAGAGAACGTGGGTTAACCTTAAAACAATCACTAAGGTGATTAGACAAAAGGAATAATCACCTAGTAAGAAGAGGGCCGCGTCAGTTGCTGAGCTACCACGAGAGGGCCAAAGGACTGAAGCCCCTGTACATCCTGGACTGCGAGATCCCGGAGATAATGGTTGGCAAAGACTGTGTTAGACCTCCAAAAGCAACCTTCCATAATAGTGGGGACCGAGCAGTTTCTGTGCAGAGCCTTCTTGACGCTAAGGCCCAGACCCAATGCAGGCTGGTAGGGTGAGGCAAACCAGCAGAGTTGTAAACTGCAAGGATAGTCGAGCGAAGCCACAAAGTGATGATATTTCTGTTGACCTCACCCTTCGACGCAGAAGAAAACGGAAGAAAAATGTGTTTCCTGGTGCGTCTCCTGACTGCCGACTGCTTGATGTACTCTTTAAGGGCCCTGACGGGACACAACGCAAGTTCGTTGGACTCATCACTGCCCACTATAGAAGACAAAGGAGGGATGACAAACATACGATCCGGTTGACCAGGCATCTAGTTCTTGGCAATGAAGTCCCAGAGAAGACCCAAATGGACGGAATCATGAAGAGTCTGTTTAAACCTAATCCTGGTGACGTCTATGGCATGAAGCTCACTAACTCTGGCCGCAGTAGAAAGCGCCAAAAGAAAGACTGTTTTCCTGGACAAGTCTTCGAAGGAGACCTCAGACAAAAGCTCATAAGGACGTCCACGAAGGTGTTGTAAAACCACGTTATGATCCCAAGCTGGAGGGCGGAACTTTGACTTCTGATCCTCCAACTTAAACGCTTTCAGCATGGCCAGGAGTTCAGGGATCTTGGAGACCTTCCTATCAGACTTGACGACCAGCACTGAATTAAGGGCTGCCAAGTAAGTAGAAATCGTACCACCCTTCAGGGATGACGAGTGTTGCGTAGGTAGAGGAGGAATTCTGCAATAAATTAAGGAGACGCTTTAACCGGATTCTTTGAGCGATCAGCACAAAACTTCTCAAACGCAGACCATTTGTCATCATACAGGCTGCGGGTGGACACTCTATGAGCACAGGTGATGATCATAGCCACACCAACCGAATAACCCTTGGATTTCAGAGCTTTCTGAAGATGTCCCAAGCAGATAGATGAAACCTGTCCGGATCTGGGTGCAACAGGCAGCTGTGAGGTTGCCGGAGAAGGTGCGACCACTGTGGTAGCGGTTGAGGATCTCCTTCGGCGAGTCGATGTAGTTCAGGGAACCAGATTCTTGCCGGCCATCAAGGCGCGACCAAAAGCAGAGTCATCTGCTTGGTCTCCTTGAGCTTGGCTACGACCTTGGGAAGAAGAACTGGAGGAGGAAACGCTTAGGCGTCTAGACCCTCCCACAAGAGGGACAGGGCGTCCACTGCCCAAGCGACAGGATCCGGAAGAGGAGACACGTAGACCGGAAGTTGATGGTTGTGCTTCGTTGCAAAGAGCTCCACTAACGGTCTGTGATGGAGGTGACAAACCAGATCGAATGCTTCCAGATGAAGCATCCACTCTGTTGGGGACGTCTAGTCTGGTCGGGACAGAGCGTCTGCCAAGACGTTCCTGCAACCCGGAATGTGATAAGCTCTGATCTGGATGTTGTTGTCGTCCAGGAGGCGAAACAAACGAAACGTCTGATCCAAGAGAAGACCTGAGCTGGTACTGTCGAGTTGTCCGACGCCACCAAAAGCTTGGAACCCCGTAGCGAATTAATCCAGTGCTGAATGGCTAAGATGACAGCCTGGAGCTCTAGGTTGTTGCTGTGCCAACCTGCCTGTGGGGTTGACTACAGCCCTGCCGCTGTCTGAGAGTCCAGGTGAGTGCCCCAACCCTGCAGAGAGGCGTCCACAAACAGTTCACGGTCGTGTGTGAATTTGGTCAAAGAGACGCCGCCGCAAACGTTCGACTCAATTGTCCACCACTGAAGAAAGGGATTAAGATGGAGGGGCAGCAGAAACCGTGACCTGAGGTCGTCTAAGAGGATGAAAGGCGAGAGGAACCGTTGAAGCGGTCTGAGCATCAATCTCTCTCTGGTGGTATGATCCTGAGCCGACATCAACAGACCTAGTAGGGACTGCCATTCCCTGAGTGTAAGCGGGTGTGACAGACCCCGCCGAGCAAGACTGAGGATTCTTTGCCATCGCTCCGGTGGAACCCGCAGCAGGTCTTGATCTGTCAGGAACAAACCCCCTATGAATGTCAGCTGTTGAGATGGCTCTAGGTGGGACTTTTCAAGGTTGACGATCCAACCGAGTTGGTGGCAAAGCTTGAGTGTAAATCCCTCTGTCTGCATAGCAGCAGGCACTCCTTGTGGCTCATGAGAGAGTCGTTGATGTATGGGTCGAACTATATCCCCCGAAGATGAAGATACTGGGAAAACGGTGCTGTAATTCGAGTGAAAAGCCATGGGGCCATAGAGATGCCAAACGACAGGACCTTCCACTGGTAATGGTGACCGTCGAAAATGAACCTCGGGAACTTCCGGTGAGGTTTGTAAATGGGAACATGTAGGTAGGCGTCTTGAAGATCCAGACTGACCAACCAATCCTTGGGGGACAGTTTGGTTCGTAGCTGGACCAGAGATACCCTCCGAAAAGTGGCGGCTCCGGAAGGTACAGTTTGTTGAACACCGCCATATTGTGTATCATCCTCATCTTCTGAGAATTCTTTTTGGGTACTAAGAAGATGGGAGAGTAAAACCCTGGGGAGTTGCTGGGCTCTACTACTTGTTCTATGGCTTTCTTGTCCAGCAACGCCTGAATGTTGGTCAACAGGGGCTGGTGCTGAGCGATGGAATATTCGTGAGACCGGGTTGAGGTGGTCAAAGGCGGCGACATGGCTACTGACAACTTGTAGCCTGTCTTGAGAAGATTGCTGACAAAGGGGTCTCCTAGGATTGTCCAGTTGGGCCAGAAGATCCCGAGTCTCCCGCCTACAGGTATATCGCGGATATGGACTGGGGACGGGAGGTCCCAGTCGTGACCGGCCAAAACATCAGTGGCGCTTGTACTTGGGCTTGCTGGTCTTGCCCAAGTCCTTTTGGTTACAGGCGGGATGACGTTGGAAGTCGTTGGGACGTACTCTGCCACGCCCTCTAAAGGCACCACGAACTGACGTCCTCCTGGATTGGTAAAGGTTGGTGGTCCTGGTAGCTGGCGCTGACAAAGTGGCGAAGTGACGAAAAGATCGGAGCGCAATCTCAGTTTGGGTCAAGGAGGCATGCTCTGAAAAAACATCTGGGATCTTATCTGTAAATAAGGTGGGAGCCACAAACGGGGCACGCATCAGTCTTTTCTTGAATTCCTCCTGCCAGGTACAGGGAGCGAGTAACCCAGTCCTCCTAGTCACAGTGGTGGTAGCTAAGGCCGAACGAACGTGATCCACCACATCAGACAGAACTCTAGTCTGCCACCTAAACATAGTGGTAAGATGATATAAGCAGGAAGGGTTATCCTCCGAGAGATCTTGAGACATAGCCTCCGTGGCCGAAGCAAGCACAGAAAGGGGCTTCAACGTTCGACGGAGTTCTGTATCAATCGCTAACAACTTGACATCTGGGACCTTGTATTGAGCTTGAGAAGCATCCGACAATCGTTTGGCTGCTTCATCTTGTGTAGCACCAAAATCCACAAAGTAAAAAGAATGCACCTTGTAATCCTGATGGCGATGTTTAGCAGGCTTGATGGAGGGACTGAGAGATAACTTTTGGAAATCCTCGTCAAGTGAAGCAATGGCATCAGCAACCATGGGATGTGGTGGCAGAAGGAACTCTGGTTGATCCCAAATGGAGGTAGCACGAGGAATATCCAACCCTGGAGACGGGCAAGTGATAAGTCTGTCAGCTATCCAGGCGTAAACACTCTCCATGCCCAAGTGCCCTGGTTGTCTTCTTCCTCGTAATCTGGAACAAACTGAGCCTCCGACACAAGAGACAAGGAATCCCGCGACCTAAACAAAGGGGATCGGGAACGTGAATGCCAATGAAGAGGTGAAGGTTGTCTCCGAGGTGAACGCCGAGGCTAGGAGCGCCGAACGTCACGTACAGGAGAGCGCCTGGGAGAACAGGAGAGCCGAGGTGAACGTCTAGGAGAACGCCAAGCGTCACACTCTGTTGCGCGCTTGAGAGAACGCCGAACATCCCACACAGGTGAACGGCTTGGTGAAGGTTGAGGGGAACGTTGAGGGGAGTGTTTCCGATCCGTGGGCACAAACTGGTCATCTCCGGAAGGTGGACGATCAGAGGAGCGCTGGCATTCCTTAAAACAATCACTGGCGATCCTCCTTTTCCAGTAGACCAACCAGGAGCTCCATAAGCCGAGAATCCTGAAGAATAGATGGAGTGCCTGGATTCACTGCATTGTTGATCTGGGCCTGTGTGAGAAGGCTCGCTCTGGAGCGTACCGGAGATGAGGACTGGCGGGGAGGCGAAGTTCTAGATCGCCGATCCGCTGAAGGCGTAGAGGCATTCCCAAGCTGAGTTGTAGGCATCGAAGGAACCTGAGCAGTTTCAGAGGCGTCGTTAGAAGACATGAGGCGCTTGCGTTGGGTAAAACGTTTGTTCCGAGCAGCTATTTACTTAACATGTGTTCAACAGTAATTGTTTTTCTGTTGTTGCAGTTTGCTGTGGTTAGTTCATGCCACAGGTTTACTGCAATCAGTGCAAGTCTCAGAAGTCGGCTAAAGACCCCCATCCTGCTTGCCCGGATCGTCTGGTCGACTCAGCGAGTACTTGGACTTCTCGGTGCTCATTTTGCCAGCACCTAACAAACAGCTATGATAAAGCAACTACAAGCCTATATGGCAAGGAAAGGCCCACGTGCAAAACCACATAACTTTGGTATACACACGCTTACCAATATAAGAAAAGAAGCGCCGACAATTTAATGTGACAGTGAAGCAAAAAAACGGCGGAAAAAACGGAATACGAAACAAAACGACAACAGTTAGCACACACTAGTAGCTCTGCATGTATGTGCAATGCCTAGTGGCAGCCGCCATTACTGCCAAGCACATGAAAACCTCTACGAGGAGAAACACACAAAATATGACACAAAGAAAGAGAACAAGATACATACAGTGGTCAAGCAAGAACAAAAACAACCCAGGCTGACCAAAGAAGTATCTAATTCTGCTGAAGCGAAGCTGGATAAACAACGCGAGGCAAAAAAAAGCAAAACAACACACCGCGAAGACCATACAGTGAGAAAACAGCCAGTAGTGAGTAGCTTTTCATTATATCATGGTAGATGGATACAATAGGAAGAAAACAGAAATATCCTGTACACTTCGATACACGTCCAACTCGCAGTGCGATAAATGATAAAGCGACGTGTTCTCGTTGTCACATGACGGGATTGGGGGGCGTGCTTCCCTCGCCGGACGAGATCGACACGTCACCAGTTTCATGATAGCATTCAACAAGGATACTTATCGATCACGTTTCCAATCTTTGTATCGGATGAGCAAAGGTAATATGCACATTACCATGAGGTAAGGGAATTTAAAAATTTACGGCTTTCAAATCCCTGAGCTTCGACAGCATCACAAACAAGATAAACGTTAGAACTCATATCCCAATTATCTTTCCATTTCCTTATCTACAACCGTCCAGATATATAAAACATCATTCCTCACTGTTTTTGAGTGAGTGAGTATGGTTTGATGACACTTTTAGCAATATTCCAGCAATATCATGTCAGGGGACCCATTGTACCCATGTGGAGAATTGAATCCGGGTCTTGGTTTGACGAGTGGCCACTTTAACCATTAGGCTACCCCATCGCCTCATTATATCAATAAGTATGTTGGGTCAGTGACAGCCTATAGCGGAGAGTATCGGAGTGAGTTGTGAGAGGTCTACCACTGTTGTGTGCGACTTGCACATACCTTTCCAGGAATATGTAATTGTTTGATGTTCAAATGAAATACACAATGTTGCATGAGTGAATTATGCAATGGAATACACACTGAAATATACAATGATGGAACATACTTGAAGCAGGCGAAACATCGAAGCACATAGCTCTTGGCTTTCTTAATGAGCATTCCATCAACTGAGACGACGTTCAAACCCATCTGGATTAATACATTCTGCAGCACAAGAAACACATAAATGACATTAATAAACAAATGATGTAACACAGTTTCAAGATTTCAGAAAACAATGATAAGATAATTATCATTATACTCTTTGATATTTTCAGTGAAATTTTTTTATCGCAGACAATCGGATGAGACTGTGACTTCTATGTATTAAGAATAAGATGAAACCCACACTTCATCCACGATTCAAAAGTAGTGCTCTTAAAGATGGTTGGCATCGAGAATATTACAAAATGGATATTGATATCTGTGGCAGTACTGGCATGCTCCTGTTTGTATATATTATCTTGTAATGCACATGCTGCACTTTAATACCACCAGTTAACTCACCTGCATTGCAAAGTCTGTAGTCAGACACCCAACAGTGACATCTGCCCTTTCAGCGTCGCCACCACCCATCTGCTTCTTCACTTTCTGGATGTTGGACGGAGTTATCCACCCTTCTCCATCCTCTTCCTCCTCCCCATCACTATCTTCTTCTTCTTCCTCCTCACTCTCTTCTCCCTCCTCTCCACCTTCTTGTATCAAACTACTTGGCAACACCTGACCTTCCTTAAATACTCTGACTGCTGCAGGTTTCAACTGAACTTTAGCTTGTCCGTCCTGGATTATTTTAGCATATGAAACAGTGTTTGAAGCAGCAGTGATGGACTTCTCTGACAGTGAATCACCCTGAGTCAATAATGAAGGATATTCATCTTCGTCAACCAAGGGCAGGTTGTCCTCACCAGACTTATCCCTTACCTCAACAAAGACTTGAGGGACTACAGATGTCTCCTGACTATCTTTCAGAATGCTGATTATGTCCACTCTTGTGGCTTGTGACAGTGTGGGAAACTCTTCCTCATCGTTCAGGTTGTTAACAGGGCAGCCTGATGTGGAGTCATCCCGGATCTCGCTGTAGATCTGCTGAACAGATGCTTGTTCACTAGCAGTTTTTAGTGTTGAGTTTGATGGGAGAGGAACTCTGGACAGAGCGGGGAAATCATTCTTGTCGGTCTCCTTCAGTGAGGTTTCAGAATGTGCTCCATCATTCATTGCTACACATGTCTGTTGTGCATGTGAGGTCACTTCACTGGGGGATGGAGATGAATGTTGGACATCAGTAACGGTTTGTTTCTCTAGTGTTGCAGCCACCTCATCAATGGTCTCTGATATACATCCAGATTGTTCCTCACTCTAAAAGTTAAAGAAAATTAAATGGGTCCCAGTATATGTCATTATTATGATAACAGTGCATGGGGAATAGGTTACCAGGCAATATGAGTTACCTCCCATACCCATCTGATTTGACAGTAAAATGTACTGTGAAACCTGTCTAAACCGGCACCCTACGGGACCAAAATAAAATGCCGGTTTAGACAGTGACGATCATTTTCCAACCAGGCTGCCATTTACACTTGTCAATCTCTTTATCTCTATAGTCCCTTTGACCTTTTGTAATTGTGCAACAAATTATAACAAAGTTGATGACAGATAATTATTCTTTATTCAGCACTAAACATTGTTCAAAACATCACGCTTTTTCAAAATGTCCGAAACAGTTAAACTGTTTGCCTGCCAAGTTGATATTTAACTGCAAGTTCTTTTTGAGAGGGCCGAGGAAGAGTATCAAAGTTATTGATAAGCTGACTTTTTTAACAAGTGTTAACTCCAAACGTGCCCCCTTAGCTGGTCTAGCCATCGTGACACACAAATTGACTGACAAATCAATAAAACCAATGCCTCTTTATTTACTCTCTGACACATGTTACTCACTTGAAAACAGTTAACGCAATCCCCCAGTGTTTATACAGCATAACGCAGTTAACTTAAAGGTCACATGCAACCAAAAAGTCAAACATAATTAAAACACAATTATCACTTATTCATGACATATAATATACATTGCTGGTTATGAAAAAACATAAAAACAAAATTATAAGCGTACAATCGCAAATCAAAAGTGCAATATTGTGTACTTGGGTTTACTTCCCAACAAACGAAGCAGCCGGGATACTGAACCCAGTCAGAGCGGTTGGGTGTGCACTCAAGTGTAACGGCTGGTTCATTTGCAGATGCCCTCACAGCTCATTGAGATGTTGGGTTTTGTAAATACATGCTCATTTTTTGTGTATAACATTTTGCAATCAACAGACATCATAACATGTCATGTGTACAAGTATCACACCTGCCTGTCTGTGTAATAACATAATGTGACAGAGACCGAACTCGGGCCATAAATCAATGCGTTTTGTTTATGGTGTATGACCTGATAGGTGTTAAGTTCAAATTGCATGTGGTCGAAGTTGTGTATTGAATATTGTCATGAGCAGACAGGCGGGCAGACACATATAGGTGTCGATAAAACAGACATTGAGTTTTGTCTGTGACAACGACATAGCTACATGTATATCACAGTTAGAAATTCTGTCAACGCTAAATAATGACATTGCTTTTAAGTATCGAACTGAGAAAGTGACTCGGTAAGAAGAATGTGTGGTGAAATAGACAAATGAAATTATATAAACAGTTAAACAGGTAATTTACTGTCATAACATATAAAAAGCTTGCGCCTGTGAAATATCAACAAAACATTAGAAAAATAGCTCACACCAAAGCCTTCACCGAGTATTCACCGGACAACCCGCTTCCTAGCTGCGCGAACCTATTTCACTGCGCATGTGCTATGAGCGCAGCCCAAGCGCTGGGGAAAAATTAGTGAATCGTTTGAACTCCGATTTTGCGCAGTTTTTTTCATCACATTATTTTTCAACTTTATAAGTTGAATTTGCATTTTTGATGATTTGTTTGGGTAAGTCCATACCGAAAGGTATCAGAATCTGCAAAGTTGTGTTTTACATTGCATGTGGAAATTGTGCAGAGGAAATGTATGGCCCAGTATGGCTAGTGACACAAGTACTTGCCTGTGTTCCAAGGTAGAAGCCAGCAATCTGAGCAGGCTGACTGGGTGCTGGAGTGGAGAGATTAATTTCTGTCTGAAAACAATTCATGGTACTGGTGTGTACACATGGTGTAGCATGGTTATATTACACTGGTGTATATACATGGTTATATATACACTGGTGTTATATACACTGGTGTATACTGTTGTAACATGGTTATATACACTGGTGTATACTACCGGTGTTGTAGCATGGTTATATACACTGGTGTATACTATTGTAGCATGGTTATATACACTTGTGTATACTGTTGTAACATAGTTATATACTGGTGTATACTGTTGTAACATGGTTATATACACTGGTGTATACTGGTGTAGCATGATTATATACACTGGTGTACACTGTTGTAGCATGGTTATATACACAGGTGTACACTGTTGTAGCATGGTTATATACACTGGTGTACACTGTTGTAGCATGGTTATATACAATGGTGTACACTGTTGTAGCATGGTTATATACACTGGTGTACACTGTTGTAGCATGGTTATATACACTGGTGTACACTGTTTTAGCATGGTTATATACACTGGTGTATACTGGTGTAGCATGGTTATATACACTGGTGTATACTGTTGTAGCATGGTTATATACACAGGTGTACACTGTTGTAGCATGGTTATATACACTGGTGTACACTGTTGTAGCATGGTTATATACACTGGTGTATACTGTTGTAGCATGGTTATATACACTGGTGTATACTGTTGTAGCATGGTTATATACACTGGTGTACACTGTTGTAGCATGGTTATATACACTGTTGTAGCATGGTTATATACACTGGTGTATACTGTTGTAGCATGGTTATATACACTGGTGTATACTGGTGTAGCATGGTTTATACACTGTATACTGTTGTAGCATGGTTATATACACTGGTGTATACTGTTGTAGCATGATTATATACACTCGTGTAGCATGGTTATATACACTGGTGTATACTGTTGTAGCATGGTTATATACACTGGTGTACACTGTTGTAGCATGGTTATATACACTGGTGTGTACTGGTGTAGCATGGTTATATACACTGGTGTGTACTGGTGTAGCATGGTTATATACACTGGTGTATACTGTTGTAGCATGATTATATACACTGGTGTATACTGGTGTAGCATGGTTATATACAGTGGTGTATACTGTTGTAGCATGGTTATATACACTGGTGTATACTGGTGTAGCATGGTTATATACATTGTTGTATACTATTGTAGTATGGTTATATAAACTGTTGTACATTCTTGCAGCCTGGTTATAAACACTGATGTACATTGTTATATCATGGTTATAGACTGTTGTAGCATGGTTATATACACTGGTGTAGCATGGTTATATACACTATTGTACATTGTTGTAGCATGGCTATAAACTGTTGTAACATGGTTATATACGTTTTATAAACTGCTGAACATTGTTGTAGAGATAAGATAAGATAAGATAAGATAAGATAAGATAAGATAAGATAAGATAAGATAAGATAAGATAAGATAAGATAAGATAAGATAAGATAAGATAAGATAAACTTTATTGTCCCGCAAGGGAAATTTGTTTTGCATTCAAAGAGCCAATACAAGTATATAACAACAAATAATTTAAAGTATATATACACAATGAAGCTAATCAGAATGTAATGTTGAATTATAACATAATCAAAGTTCATGATATAATAATCACTTGTTCCTCATCATAGATTTCACTATTACAATTTTGAAGGAAGATTTAGAAGATTTATGCTGTATGGGACAAATGATTTTGAAGTTCTATTAGTTTTGTAATACATGATTTTGAAACGGCGGCCAGAAGGCAGAAGTTCATAACATTCATTTAAAAAGTGTGATGGATCCAATAGAATGGCCAGAGCTTTCTTCTTAACTTTTGACTCATATTGAAAAGGTAGAGGTTCAAAATTGAAGCCGCAAATTTTGCTTGATATGTTTACAATTTTGTCAAGCTTGTTTTTCTGTGTAAGAGGAAGATTGCCATACCAGGCATGAAAGCAGAAAGTTAAAATACTATTAATGAATGTTTGGTAGAATAATTTTAAGATATTAGTGTCTACATTAAATGATCGCAAGTTTCACAGAAAGAAAAGCCTCTGTTGTGCTTTCCTATGTACCCGATGTGAATCTGATTTCCATGAAAGTTTATTATCAATGATAGTACCCAGATATTTATACTCTTCTACTGTTTCTACTTCCTGTCCATCAATACAAACAGGTTTCAGTTGGTTTTTCTGCTTCAGAAGTCAATTATCATTTCCTTTGGTGTTTTTATGTTCAGGGAGAGGTAATTGTCTTTGCACAAGGAAGTAAACGCATCAATATTTTTCCTATACTCTAACTCCGATTGACGAATAAACCCAACCAAAGCGGCATCATCAGCAAATTTGAAATTCAAACAGGTGGATAAATGAGATATACAGTCATTTGTATAGAGTGTGAAGAGGACAGGGGACAGGACACAGCCTTGAGGAGCACCGGTACTCACAAGATTAACGTCAGAAAGCGTTGAATTGACCCGAACACGCTGAGGTCGGTTAATTAAGAAGGCCTCTACCCACTTGATTATGTTACTATTTACTTTCATGTTGAATAATTTCCTTATCATCAAATGTGGCTGGATTGTGTTGAAAGCAGAGGAGAAGTCCGCAAAGAGGATTCTTACATAAGATTTTTGAATTCTCTAGATAAGTATAGATCTTATGTAACAGTGAAATGAGTGCATCTTCTACCCCGCGCCTGGCCCTGTAAGCAAATTGTAAAGGATCCATTTGATGTCCAGTATTTTGCTTAATTAAGTTCAAGATAATTTTCGCTCAAAGCATTTCATGATTATTGGAGTAAGAGCCACTGGGCGGTAGTCATTAATTACTGAAAGGTTTGACTTTTTGGGAACAGGGATTATATGCGAGGTTTTCCATATTGTTGGTATATAATGGGCGTCGACAGACATCTGAAACATCACTCTCTATATCCCGCACAACTGTTCACAACATTCTCGTAGTGCAATGCCAGGTATTCCGTCGGGGACGATTGATTTCCGAATATTAATCTTCCTAAATGTTAGCATCACATCAAGGTCGGTGATTACTAAATTATCATCTTCTGGTAGGCTTTGAATGAAGGCATTTCTTGTCTGAGAGAAGTTATGTACATCAAATCTTGAGTAGAACTGATTGAGATCCCTCGCAAATAAGACAACGTTTTGAGTGTTCAGGACTTTACATTTACTGTCGTTGCCAGTCATGGTTTTAATTCCATTCCACGCTCCTTTCAAGTTATTACTTTGAAATTCCTTTTCTATTTTCTTTTTGTAATCAAGTTTACATTTTTTAGTCACATGTTTGATATCTCGTTGTATTTCTTTCACTCGAGTTCTTTCTCCTGCACAGAAGGCACGCTTCTTGTCATTGAGAAGTCCTTTCAATTCAATGCTAATCCAAGGTTTGTTGTTAGGGAAAAGTTTTATGGTTTTTGAAGGAACAATATCATCGATACAGAACTTGATATAATCTGTTACGTCGTTCAGCTCATCCAGATCAGTCGATGATTCACGGAAGTTATCCCACACTGTACAGTCAAAGCAACCTTTCAGTTGATTAATAGATTCTTTTGTCCAGATTTTAACAGATTTACTGTTGGTTATTGTGATTTGAGAGTTTGTTCATACTGGGGAACGAGATAAACAATGTTATGATCTGACTGACCAAGTGGCGGCTTCACATACGATTTATAGGCACCGATCTAAGGTTTTACTTTTTCGCGTCTTACAAGTGACATATTGGTGATAATGAGGCAGTACTTTATTTAACCCATTGAAGTCCCCAAGAATCGGTTTTGGTGCATCAGGTGAAAGGGCATCGAGCTTACTGATGTGAGCAGACAGTATGTCCGCCACTTTGTTTGAATTTGCCTTAGGATGGATATAGACAGTCGATATAAATATCTGACCAAATTCTCTTGGCAAATATGGATAAGAGTTCTATATCCTCCGTGCACGCAGTGTCTCTTACAACATAATTACTGCACCATCTTTCATTGATATATATGCACACTCCGCCTCCGACTTTCTTACCAGTAATGCCGCTGTCCCTGTCCAATCTGATAGGATTGTTGAAGCCCTGGATCCGTAGCGCAACATTGGGGAATGTGTTGTTCAGCCATGTTTCAGTGAAACATAGTAAACATGACTCACAGTATTCATACAAATATTTGACACTTGTTTCAAGTTCCGGCAGTTGTTGCCGCAAGGATCGGACATTGGAAAGCACTATTGTAGGTAGAGGAGGGCGAGTTTTCCTTACTCGTACACGTTGTCTCAAACCCCCCTTTTTACCTCTTTTCCGCTTTTAAGCATCATTCCTGGAACATTCCTTTGGTAAATCAAGTGGCGTACTGTAATCCGATGAGAAAGTGTTGAAACGCAAGAGCTGATCGCGTTCATACCGTTGAGAGAGATGCTGAGGAACTGGATGTCCAACATGTTGAATAACGTCCAACGCGGTCGCGCAGTAGAGCTGATGGAATAGGATGATTCCTGTTAACGTTACCGCTATCCCAGTGCTCATCGCTTTCTTCATTATGATCAATACAACATTTGTGCACTAAATCTTCACAACTTCAGAAATATAAACTCAATTTAACAGCACATCTCAAGAATAAATCACAGAGCTCTTTAAATACATGTCGCCACGGTGCAGCGCCACCTAGGAGTTGCCATGGTTATACATGTTTATATATGGTTATATACACTGGTTTACACTGTAATAGTATGGTTATATACACTGGTTTACACTGTTGTAGCATGGTTATATACACTGGTTTACACTGTTATATACACTGTCGGCTTCACTGGTTTACACTGTTGTATGGTTATATACACTGGTTTACACTGTTGTAGCATGGTTATATACACTGGTGTAGCATGGTTGTAGCATGGTTATATACACTGGTTATATACACTGGTGTACACTGTTGTAGCATGGTTATATACACTGGTGTACACTGTTGTAGCATGGTTTATACACTGGTGTACACTGTTGTAGCATGGTTGTATACACTGTGTAGCATGGTTATATACACTGGTGTACACTGTTGTAGTAGCATGGTTATATACACTGGTGTACACTGTTGTAGCATGGTTATATACACTGGTGTACACTGTTGTAGCATGGTTATACTGGTGTACACATGGTTATATACACTGGTGTACACTGTTGTAGCATGGTTATATACACTGGTGTACACTGTTGTAGCATGGTTATATACACTGGTGTACACTGTTGTAGCATGGTTATATACACTGGTGTACACTGTTGTAGCATGGTTATATACACTGGTGTACACTGTTGTAGCATGGTTATATACACTGGTGTACACTGTTGTAGCATGGTTATATACACTGGTGTACACTGTTGTAGCATGGTTATATACACTGGTGTACACTGTTGTAGCATGGTTATATACACTGGTGTACACTGTTGTAGCATGGTTATATACACTGGTGTATACTGTTGTAGCATGGTTATATACACTGGTGTACTGTTGTAGCATGGTTGTATACATACACTGTTGTAGCATGGTTATATACACTGGTGTACACTGTTGTAGCATGGTTATATACACTGGTGTACACTGTTGTAGCATGGTTATATACACTGGTGTACACTGTTGTAGCATGGTTATATACACTGGTGTACACTGTTGTAGCATGGTTATATACACTGGTGTACACTGTTGTAGCATGGTTATATACACTGGTGTACACTGTTGTAGCATGGATTTACATACACTGTTGTAGCATGGTTATATACACTGGTGTACACTGTTGTAGGGTTATATACACTGGTGTACACTGTTGTAGCATGGTTATATACACAGGTGTACACTGTTGTAGCATGGTTATATACACTGTTGTAGCATGGTTATATACACTGGTGTACACTGTTGTAGCATGGTTATATACACTGGTTTACACTGTTGTAGCATGGTTATATACAATGGTGTACACTGTTGTAGCATGGTTATATACACTGGTGTACTGTTGTTGGTTATAGCATGTATTATATACACTGGTTGTATACTGTTGTAGCATGGTTATATACACTGGTGTACACTGTTGTAGCATGGTTATATACACTAGTTTACATTGTGGTAGCATGATTATATACACTGGTTTACACTGTTGTAGCATGATCATGATGATTATATACGACTCGTACCTGGTGTAGCATAATTTTACACACTGATGTACCATGGTTATATCCACTGGTTTACAATGCTGTAACATTGTTATATACACTGGTGTAGATCTCTGTAACATGCTTAATACAGTTGTGTATGTACCTGTAACATAGTAACATCGTCCACCAATCAAGCCACTGTAACTGAGATGCTAAACAAGCTACCTTTGTGTCTGGTGATGTCTTGATGTGCCTCGTCCCAACATGTTCCTTCTCTAGCTGATAGGCAAGTGCAAGGACTCGAATGTCAACAGCAGACAGGCTAGGGTAATCTCCAGTCTTCTTGGAAAACTCGGTCACTAGGAAACAAAAGTATCAAACAGAACATCTAGTTTCAGCCAACATACAAAGCATTTCTTGAAAACAGTTTTTGCCAGGTGAGCTACCTGTGCCTACCGGTAATGCCCATGTGGGCTAAACCTGCACTGCCATTCATCAGGATCTCCTTAAAAAACAGATAACACTCACTAGCTTCTATCTACAAGCATGAATCAGTGTATACGCACAATACACAGCTCTTTTAGAGCTATTTTAAGCAACCATACAGCTAACTTCAGATCTGTTCAGAAATACAGGCATGCAGGTTGAAGGTTTATACACAGAGTGTTGTTATTATTGGGTTTTAAAATTTCTAAGAAATATTTGTACATGAACAACTTGACTAATTGGACACTGGTGAATTATTTTGTGTATTTTACCTAATCATTCAAAAATTATCTGGAGCTAGCCCTGCAATATACATACAACACAGGCTGGCAAGGTGGGCTTACCTAATGAAACCGATTCTGCAGATGGTTCCCTGTATTCAAGTTTGTAGGGAAGAAACTGAAGGCGCTGTTTGGTAGCTTTATCCTTAATTTCTCCAATAACTTCTGGCAGGCTGTAAATCTGTTCCCCTATGTCCTATGAAAAGTATAAAAACATGAATTCACAAGTAATTAAATCTTTTCTTTCAAAGTAATAACAGCTGAAAGATAAGATTGAATGATTACCATATGTCACAAACATCATGTGTCTGCTGAGTGACAAAATTCTTGGTGTGAGCAGTGCTTTGCAGGCAAAATGTTAAATACAGAATTGTTTAGTCATTTTTCAGTATAAATTGTTAATGGGGTGAAAATGCATTCTTCCATCTGTTTTACCATCATTTCAGAAAGAATAAGACTAAATATTCATATCCTATTAGTATTACAGATACCATTGGTTCAAAGCAGAAGTTATGATTACAAGATCAAGTTTTTGGTAAAAGAGAAACTATACTCCAAACCCACTGAAAGAACTGTATCCCTTATTATGCGTATGTTATGATATTGTAATAGGACGACGTCTGGCCCTCATGTATGATGATTGACTCTGTGTTGTGTATTTTGTTTTGATATGAGATGTTACGGGGACATTAACGGCCAAACTTGTTCTACTGGCCCAGGTTCTTTCTATTCCATGAAGAGGTGTGAAATACGATAAAAGGTAATACAGATTCAACAAAGAATATTTATTCTGATAACAAAATATAAATTAACCACTTATTTAACAACATAACACTTCATGAATTCACACCATTCTGGGCGGATATGGTTTCAAATGTTCAGAGTACTGTAATATTTACAAGGAGCACAAAAGATCACAGTGTAAAAAGAGTTAATATAAACTTCTCACATCTGGTGCCAATTTGACTAGATTCTGCAGTAAACGTAATACACTGCTATAAACATGATAAATCAACAATCTGGGTTGATGTCTCACAAATGTTATAAACTTGTCTCACATCTGATGCCAACTCGACTAGGTTCTGCAGTAAATATAATTCACTGACAAAATAACAATCTGTCACAATATGTTTGCATGATATTACTTAGTGTTATTACTTTCAATCACGTAATATATTAATACAATCATAAGATTAAGTCAAAAATAAAGTTACATGTATTTTTCGCAGTAGTACAGTTTTGCAAGTTGCCAAACAAAGATAAATAGATAATATCATAATACTTTGTTTTTTGTTTCATGTCTGCACTACCAATTATTCAAGAGGAGAGTTGATGATAGAATAACTGATGATACAGAAGTGCTAGCAATTTAGGCATTGGTGAGTGGTGCATTTTGCTGGGAATTCTTGATGGTGGGGATTGAAATTGTGATGTTTCATCAATTAACAAGCCTCTCGAAATTGTTATGTATCATCAGTGATCATTTCCTTGGAAACTTGCACCCCACCTATAATAGACATAGATATTATCAGCATATTCAACATTATCAAGGTAATAAACACTATCAACAGAAAGAATGTAACATGACCTTTAAGCTGTCATTTACTTCAGAATGTTCAAGCAAACCTACTCCCATATCCCCCTGACATGTTATGAGGCAAAGTGATAGTTTCTGAATCCAGATTTAAATCAGAAAATGTTAAAAATGACAGTAAGGATGGTACAAAATCTAAAGATTATCAAGAGCTTTGAAGAGGGAGACAATCAGGGTAGACTTGATATTGTTACTGGTCAGTGAAGCATAAGAACAGTAACTTTGATAGCTCGTAGACAGGTTTGGGCTCAACTGGATTCTTTTCAGAAAAATCTGGGTATTCCAGAAACTATACAGAAAGAATACATTTACAGCTCTGACTGTTTTGTTAAGTCTAACAACTCGATAAATGACTCGATGTGGTGCAAGAGTTTCAGATATATACACTGTCGCGACAAACTTGAATTATCAGTATAACAAGTCCCTCAATACATGTAAGATACAGAGATACACGCCGAGCTACATAAAAATCAAATGATCAATTATCATAAAACTCTACATACACGGAGAGGCGCATTTCGAATGAACGCTCCTGTATCAGCAACAACGTGCTTCACTTTCGTGGAGGTCGCCATTTTGCAATCACGTGATGTATATTTTGACAGATACTTTGGTGCTCAATATATTTTGATTCATGTGTTGTTTACACAACAAACTAGCAATTTCCACTTTTGCTAATTCTGATAGTTCTTATTTCTTTTCTTTTCTTCAAATCTCTAAAACTCTCGTTACTTCGGGATATGATACTTGTGACGTAAGTGGTCACATGATCAGTGATGGTGGTCAACAGGAGTAATATTGAGAAAGTGTACGACGACAAATTTTACCGTAATATTCTGTGTGTTTAAGAGGTATGTCAATTTATGTAGTGTATCGATCTAGTTTAAGTTTTTAACAACATGAATACGTATATGGCGATCAGAGATATTGCAATAAATACACACTGATCGTCATTTTTGTGCCAAATATTTTCGTGCAATCTCTGTCTTCCTAGTTGCTCTATCACTCACGCACATTTGACAGGTATATTCAGGACATTTCTTTCTGCGTATGTGTAGGTATTTGTTGAAATAACAAATCTGTTGAACTGACTTGTTTTATCAAAAGACATAAGACAATATTTTTGATTAATTAGGTTTGTTTACATTACCATCAATATATACAAAACACTCTGTGAAGGTCAGGGATGAAATTGCAAAATATGAATAACAAATCCTGTGATTCTGACTTTGTTTACATTTAGATGGATATATTCATACAATGTTACTATGAAGGTTTTTATGTGAAAAAGTTGTTTACTGCCATATTTTCTCTATAATTTACCACATATCGCTCTACTTTGGTGTTATGTGGACAAGGGTTGGGGGTCTGTTGAATTCGTGTCAGCATTGAATGGTAATTTGTTACCCTATTCAGTGCCTTGACATGCTCTTCAGTTGACATGCATAAATTGTAGGTTTCTATGATTAAATATGCAAAGGTTAATGTTTTGATTTTGTTTGTTTAATAGTTTTCATGTGTTTTAAACATTTTTCATGCATATCATATTGTTAGAAACAGAAATCTTTTATGAGGGGATATGATGTTTGTTGCTTACTTTTACACGATTGTTAAAGTAGCTTACTGGAAGGGAGAAATTCCAGCTGGTATACTTTATCCCATACATCCAGTGTCACAGCCACTTTCTGTGTGTTATAGTATAAATGCACATAACAAACTACAATTATAACAAACTAAAATTAGTGGTCCCTTTGGGTTTGTTTTAACTATAGTTTACTGTATGTGCATGAATGTCCAATCATTGTTTCCCATTTAGCATCCCTTTAGTTCCTTGACTTGATTTAACATCCCTTATGTCATTAGCATTACAGTGATGTCTTCCATGTTTTGTTGAGGACATGTTTGGAATTGATCTGTGCCAGTGTAGCTCTAACTAATACCTTCCTTTTGTATCAAGTTCTAGCTTGCATGACTGAAGGTGAATTGAGGTTCTGTTGTGGCCCATTACATACAAAATAACACAGACTGGTTTTTTTAATTAATTTTATTTTGTTGATGCATCACCTTTGATCTTAAGCATTTAAACATTATATGTTTTCCAAATATCCCAAGGTTGATGGAGTTGAAACTTTATGTGAATGATCACAATTCCAGTGTTTTTAAAAAAATGCATAACAAATCCAGTACAGAATTGTTGGGCCATTACGACAACCATGCTGATGTAATAGCTGATAACCCCTGACCTTACTCCGCTCTGCTTCGTTTATTTTGTAAGAGTTTTCTACCAAAGTGACCACACCACAGGTGTAGAATATCATGTGACAAGCCTTTTCTTTGTGTTTGTAATCAAGCACACTTATTCTGAAACAACAGGCCAAAAATTGAAATAGTTTTTCAGGTTTTAGGGGTTTTGTCAATGAAATTGAACATTTCATGACATGTTCACTTACATACATAGTTTCAGTAAAAAAAGAACAAAAACCTGCAATATCTTGAATGGAGTGTGTAGGAGTGAGTGAGTGAGTTTGGTTTTACGCCGCTTTTAGCAATATTCCAGCAATATCACGGCGGGGAACACCAGAAATGAGCTTCACACATTGTACCCATGTGGGGAATCGAACCCGGGTCTTCGGCGTGACGAGCGAATGCTTTAACCATCAGGCTACCCCACCGTGCGGAGTGTGTAGGATATGACAGCAGAGGTACTAGGCTATCTGTAAGGGACATTGAGTAGGAGAGAGTTGTGCATCATGATTCGTTCATACAACCTACAAATTGCTTAGAATATTCCAGATTCAATGCCAATCATAAGAAACAAGTGGAACTAAATATTTTAAAATCCAACATTTGTGTTATTGTAAAAAGAAATGTGTGTACTCAAGGTTAAGCTAAAGGCAACACATGGCAACATATTTAGATTACTTTCAGAAGCACGAAAACAAACTAAAAGTAAATTTGGATGTCTTTTAATTTTACCTATTTTCCGCTTTCCCAGATTTCACAAAAAAAATCTTTAAAGCAAGGATTCTAATAGATTTGTCTGAAGGATAAGTCTGAAACTATTTTTAGGTTCCCCTTGATGTGCTTGGCAGGTCAATCTTTCTGTCCTTTGATTTTATCTACCCTTTAGTCATGTAGTGTGCATGTGTTTCAGAACAGAACAGGATTATGTAAGTAGGCTCATAACAGTTTTTTCAGAATCAATGCATAAACATGTGCATCTGGTTAAATAATGCAATGATATGATACAGTGCACCCAGTGCACCCTACAATGCTTCTGTATTTACTTGTTTTGTTCATGTTGATAGTCCAGAGTTTGGTTCTGTTTATTGTATAAAGAGTTAAAGTGTAATGAGAATTGGTACAAACTTACCATTATCACGATTACAACAACCATATTCCACAAGTACAGTGAACATGAAGAATGGCTTTGAAGATTTTTCCACATTTCCTTTGATGATAGTGTGGTATAATAATAGACAGGTTAAAATTATACATGATGCACATGATGAAAGACAAGGATCTTTGTTGTTTCCCTGATATAGAGAGTTAGTGAGGCCCATAGGTATTAATACAATAGCAGCAAGTCTCAGTATTCATCAGGACCATGGGTCCCATGTCATTTCCAACACTAAATAAATATGACAGGCTAACTGAAATCAAAAACACAATTGCATCAAATTTTTCAGTAATGTTTTGCTTGTCAGCATATTCAGTGTCAATGTTTCATGGTGATTTCTAATGCTTGATGGGTACAATGTGTAAAGCCCATTTCTGGTGTCCCCTGCGGTGATATTGCTGGAATATTGCTAAAAGCGGCGTAAAACCAAACTCACTCACTCTGCTTAATATGTAATTTGCCCAGCAAATATTATGAGTGGTGTACAGTGTTTCTATTAGGGCCATTATGATTCCCACACATATGAATTGAGGTGAGGTGAAATTTGTTTTAACGTCGTGCTTGAGAATATTTCGCTCATATGACGACGTGCATGCGTGTGTATGTGTATGTGCGGCTGCTTGTACTAGCCCAGACTTAAGCTGGTTTTATAGTGCTAGCCCACTGAGATATCATGCTGCAGTGAAGCATGAATACCCCACTCAGACACATTATACTGACTCCGAGCCGACCAGTCCTTGTTGTACCCATTAATGCCGAGAGCCAGGCAGGGACCAACAAGTACCATATTTTAACGTCTTATGGTATGACGCGGTCGGGGATCGAACCCGCGACCTTCCGCTCTCCGGGCGGACGCACATATGAATTGAACCATATCCATTATAAATTCAATTTGTTATATTGTGATCACTAGAAGTGAAGTTTATTAAATGTACCGACACTGATTTTACTTCAGTTTGGGTGTTATTTATCAAACCGATTTGGATAATGGAACATATCTAAGCCAGGCAGGATAAAAGTCAACACTCTAATATGTTTAATTTGACAGTATTGTCACTGGTAATTGTTGTGATACATTAACATTCAACATGGTCAATACATTGTCAAAGAATAATTTTATTGTTGCTCTCATCACTGAATATAATGAAAAAATATATCAACTGCTGTTTTGTTATTGTATTCATTACCCAGTATTCGTATTTGTTGCCCAACATTCATGTATCATATTTGTGTCAGTGAATTCATAGAAGCCCTAGTTTCTATTTGGTATTACTCTCATAACACTTTGTTACCATGGTTACATCATAGGAGAATCGTGATGATGACAGTGTTTGTAAATGAAATGTTACTACACACTGTACTCTTGCTGACACAGCAGAGATAATGTATATGGACCAATTGAAGTAGTGTTTGTCAGTTCACTGACATTGATAATGAGTTACTGGATCTGATATTTTTTCATTTATTTTGTTTGGTGTTAAATAGGCATGTAGATGTGTGGTAAATATTGTTTATTTATTTTTTATTTCAAACAAAATAGTAGACTACCAATTTAATCTACCTGAGTATTTTCAAGGCTAATCGCTAACTGGGTTAACAGATAATATTACTGTTTTATGATTCAAAAGTGTCTACAGGTACAGTCATTTCTGCATAATGTTCATGCCATGCCTTGTTTCACTGCTTGATATGAGAAACACCTAACCACATAACACATGACTGATATATGTGATGTAGCAATAGTTATCTCCCGAAGAAGTTGGAGGATGTGCAATAAGTCCCGGTCACTGTCACATGATCACGTGTCATATTCAGGTTACCGGTAGCCTGTGTGATAACATCAGAGCGTAAACACAGTGACTAGTGAATGATGACTGTATTCACTATAGCAAGTTTGGAGTCACAACCTTTTCTGCTTATTGACCCAAATTAGATTGTTTCTGTAGATTTTGTTTTGAATGAATGGGCTTTGAGTAACTGGATACTAAATGGGAAGAAATGTCACCCAGGCTTTGGACTACTGGTTAACGGTAGTAATGTTGCAGGTTGTTCACTAGTAGTCTGTAACATGTTTACTATGTCTCACCTTACTTGGTGTGTTGTTTGAAGACTTTCCTCGGTTTTGTGACAAGGGCTATATATGCGTGTCAGAGACGGAAACAGCTTTTGAGAAAGGAGGGTAC